GGAAAGCACTGAAAGCCTGGAGCAAGCCTGTCAGAGGACGAATGAGGTAATACAGTTACACCCCAATAAAAACAAGCTGTCAAGTGAACAGGAAAACAGAGTACTACGCTTGCTTGAATGAATAGCAAACACATGGCGGCCTCAAGTTTAAATACACTGGTATGGTAAAATGAACACACTGGACTCTTTTCTTTTATCTCCTCTTTAAAGGTAATCCAATTTGACTTATCAAGGGCTCAATAGGTGAGTTGTGTTCACTCATGTCATAACAGATGATACAAATTAACCTCAAAGTCTCAGTAAAGTAGAAAAAAGAAAAGACACAACCAAGTGTAGTTTGGGGATGTTGGTCTTGAAATGATACATGGTCTGGGGCACAGATGGCAGATTGCTATCTTGAGGCTCCAGAGGGTGAGAGTACATAATAGACTGACTAAAACCTCATCTAGAGTCATTGTGCAGTTTGTGCAGAATGGAAACTTTAAAGTACTTAATAAGTCCCCGGGACAAAAACTCTTGGCTCCTTTTGTGGAAATGCAGTTTTAGGTATATTGTTACTTTGTGCACATTTGCAGACTGCTTGGTTTCACAGCAGCATGTCTGCTCTGCTCTGCTAAAATTATGAGCTCACCCCAAAGTCTATTTCCAACAGAGGCTGCATGTGTCAGGCTGAACTGAACAGATCAATCAAACTCAAGCAGGAAGTTGGACACAGGAACAGCATGGAGCATCTGTTCAATTTCAAAATCAAACACAATGTGCAGACTCTAGATGGTTTAGCTGTAACTCTGCCCAGCTCCACACCACTGCAGCTGGCTGGTTCAATTTAACCTTAAACTCTGTGTTGTGTGTAAAATGATGAGGAAGAGGCTTGTTTTACTGTCTGTGCTGCCATTTGTTCTCTCTGGCATGTCTTGTGAATATTCAAAAAACAGTGAAACAAAAATATTTTGGTACCTGAGCAGGACCAGAATGCTCCTCAGTGACAGCACACCCTAGGGGGACTTTGTATTAATAAAAACAAAACAAATTAATAATCAAGTAAGAGGGAAAACTTTAGATTTCCTTGTGTACTCATATGCCTGTTGTTTTACTGTTTGTGCACTGCTTTCATCCAATGACCTTGCACTACCCAGTTGGTCATACCTCACGTCTGATCTTTCAACTCAAATCGCTAACAGTCCTGTGCTCTCTTTTAGCTGGAAATTCAATCCTTTCCATCGTCTAATGCAGTCGTTTGCAAAACATTCTGGCATATCAAGCCATCCAAATCTAGCTTATGGCAACACTTTTTAAAATGTTTTTCTTATGTCAAAATCATCTATATAATAAAAACAGCTATATACTCTGTAGATTAAAAAACCTTGTGGTGAATCTCAAAGGACTTATAGATTCACAACATGACTCAAGGTAAGTTGGCCACTTGTCCATGGACACAACATGACAGAGCAAAACTACAAGCGTACACTTCCACTCGCTAGGTTGGTGTTTTATTTACCATGCTCATTATTGTAGTTTAACATGTGACCACATTCACACTTGTTCAACAAAAGAAAACATAGCTGAGATTGATGGGAACGCTGTTGCATCTGTTTGGTCACAAAGTTAGGGCAAACTTACCTGATATGTTAGTGATGGTTTATATTACCCAATAAAAATGATAAAAAATGATAATTTACCCCAAGAGGAATATTTTCTGTTTGTCAGTCACATGTTTTCATAAAGCTTTTAATGTGGTTGAAAATTTTTGTATGAAATACCAAAACTTTATAAATCTGCATGTGCTGCTACACGAAAAGTCTTGGCGGCTCAAAATATAAGAGTCACCCTCTGGAGAACATGAATTTCTTTAAAACTATGATGATGCATTATAGACTAATGGATCATATCAAACTTTTCTGTTTGATGAACTGTGCTGCTTGCATGTCTTCAAACCAAAAACAGAGCAAGCTGATAAATATTAGAGCATCTGGTCCCAAAGCAAGACGTGAATCAAGTCTCTGATCTGTTATGTAATTAAAAGACAAAGTGAACCGCTACGAAATTAATGACCCCCAAGGAGAGTTTTGGGCCCAAAACACCCATCAACCACGAGAAGAAACAGCCTTTTAATTTATTTCAGGTATGCTGCAGAAACCTGTCCAAAATTCCTGTTATTGTGTTTCACAAACTCTGTGTTGAATTCACTGTCAGTAACTTGTTACATAAGTGGCGTGCAGATGACCTCATTGTTGGCTCAATCATGTGTAGTTTGGGGAGAAAATGATACTTAATCATGAACCAAATCTCAGCCAGCTGAGGACATAACAAGAAGCACATGGCAAGTTCTCTCTGATGCATTTTCCCTCAGAAAAAAAAAAAAAAAATCTGTTTCAGATTAGTCATTGTGCAGCATGTTACTCATCTAGGGAAATAAATTAGACATGCACTCTGCAAACTATACATGCATGCTGTATTTGCAAGATGAACACAAGTGTTGACGATTTGCTGATAAATACACAGAGCTTTTTTGATTTTGGGTGAAATGATTGGAATACAGGGCTGAAAAGAATCTGCTTTAGAATCGAAATATTCAATGTTTGTGCTTGTTTGTGTTTGATAGAGAGAGAGAAAGATGGGAGAGAGAGCATGGTAAACAGTGGACCGTCCAGAGTGGTGAAGCAGATGGTAATCACAGTCTAGACAGGCAGGGCAGAGAAGAGGTAGGCGAAGAGGAGGAGGAGGACGAGGAGGAGGAGGAAGAGATGGAGACTTGATGTTAAATCAACCACCCACAGGAACAACATTTTAAAACATTTTTCAAAGACTCCACTGCACACATTTCTGCAATGCGAAAACGCACGCACTCAAATTATCATGGTAGCGCATCATGATGAACCAAGACTACATGACTGGAATATTAACATGATGGTATGGAATAAAGGAGCTTTTGTGAATGGAAGGAAAAGCCTTTGCTGTATATGGTGGCAAATATAATATGGAGAGCATTTTCTCTGCTCACATGCATCAGAAAAAGAGAAGCATATGCTTTCATGAAAGAATATTCGATAGCTTCAAATGGCCGGAAGAAGAACTTTTAACCCAGTGAGCTTCCCAAACACCCCCACACTGCCTCCTTCATGCTCCAGAACTGTTGAGTACCTGTGGGAAAACAGGCGGACTTTCCCTCGGACAATGTGCGCAGTGTTCTTATACACAACAATCAATAAAACTCATCTCACTTTGCTGACAGAGTTTGAACCTAACTTCGACAATGCTAACCTGCAGACATTTAAATTCACAGCACATTTATATTGATGGGCCTCCGGATACCGAAGGGCACAGCGGCATCTTTAAGTGGAGAAGCATAATCTGTCAATAACGCTGGATAATCACAGGCAGTTGGGGGCTGCAGGGGGCTGCACGGCCCTCTGCAGAGACTGATAGCACAGCACTTAGAGCACAGCTGCATTCTTTATGGTCGCGCAAACTTGTGATCATTTTTTAAATACCTGCGTTAAATCAACTGCACTGGTTCTTTCCATCTCATATTGTTTTTAAAGTGCCTCAGTAGAGATCAGAGCTGTTGCATTTTACATGATGTGATCTTCCTGAACAGCTTAAGGGGTAATGGTGATGAGGTTATTCTTTCATTTACGGTATCAATTAATGAAGGAATCTTAATGATATGAGACGTTCATCATTAAGTCATTGAAATGCCTAAAACATTCAGTCACATGTAATAAGTGGAGTGCTTTTGCCCTCTAGTGTCAGAACTGCAGACTTGTTTTAGCTTGTAATATTGCAGCAGAGTTTTGGAACTTCACTCAGAATTTGTAGCTCAAATAGTTAAATAGTTTAAATCGGGGAAGTCAAATCATCAAAAAACTGACTCAAAGGGGCCACGTGGTTTGGTTGCATGCCCCAGGTACAGAAGCTTCAGTCCCCAAGCAGACAGCCAGGGTGCCATTCCAGTCTGCCGCCTTTCCTACTCGATCAACAGTCCTATCCTCACAGATTAAAAGCCTACAAATTATAACTAACTTAAAGATGACAAGCTTTTAATAGAATCAATATGTTAGTTTTTAAAATGTTGTACATATTAGCAAATTGCAAAGTGCTGCTGTGGAAAATATAAAAGTTTTGCTTATCTTGTATTTAATGAAGAGAGTAGTGTTCTTTATTTCTCCTAAACTTTCCTGTTCTCCTTATATTTCTAAACTACTCTTTGAAAAAGAAAAAAAAGACATAATTTGTAAATATCCAACCCTATGTTATCTCGTCACACCATAGAATCAGAAAATATAAATGTTTGTTGACATTGGTATAATTTAGAAATTGTAAATTTGCTCTTGTTGCAAGTTTTTACCTGTCCGTGCTCTTATACTCAGATGGATTAAAATGCCAGACTATGTTGACTATTACCCTGGACAAATGTATTTGTTCTGACTTGTGAGTCACTCCCACCCAGGAGTAATAGGTGAGTGTGCTCACCCTAAATCTGAGTGTAGGCATATGCAAAAAAATACAATTCAATTCAGTCCAGAAAGATTAATTGGCAAGGGAGACATACACTGTCAAAGCGGGTAAACACACAAGTATAAACACAAGAATACCAAATAAGTACAAAAATACAGAAATCTGGGGGGAAGCAGCATTATTATGGTCTCAACTTTAAGTTAAAAACTATTGTTCAGATTAAACCTCTGCTCTTGTAAATATGTAAATCTTTAGCATTAAACTCATTGATAACCAAATGTATAAAACTTCAGAAATTATGGGGGGGAAAAAAAGTATTTTGAGGACACTGTGGAGTCTTATATTTCCCAGATTCAGTCTATTGGATGCTGACACAGCGACCCCTTGTGGATTTTAATAGTCATGCAATTAGTGTGTTTTACAGTAAAAAAGAAAAAAAGGTTTGTTTTTTTTTAAACAATTTTTGTCCATCAATATTTTGTCAATAACACCATAACGTGACACTTATGATTTTTAAAATGTAAAAATATTTAACGAGCACTGAATCTTGATGTCTCGTGTCTTGGCTGCACACTAATCACCGTGAGGTCGTAAAGCTCTTTTAAAAGAAAACATTAGTATTGATTTTTTAATGATACACCGGGAGGATGTTTGATGTGTGGTGATGATTTCCACTAAGTGAGCCACATACCGCCTTTACTTGTGGCGTTGAGGAGGAGCTCAGTTGTTTATTCATTCACGTCAGCCCCTCTCTCCTGCCTTCCCTTCCCTCCTTCCTGCTCCACACAACGGGGACCCTCCGTTGTAACTGTTTTTCCCACATTAAAATTAACCACAATCACGTCGCCACCATAAACCGATTTTGGAATCAGGTGAGTTGCTGTTTTCTGTCTCTATCCCGTTGACGATGAACAGGAAATGTTTGTGCAGCGTTGACTTGTCCGGCCCGGCGAGGCGGAGGAGTGTTTCAACCGTAACTTATTAAATTCCTCCTGACCAGGCGAGAAAATCTATGCGCCGTATGTATGGCGATTTTACAGCTCGTGCGTTGTGCGCGAGCGTCTTTCGGCGCGGTATTCTCGCTATTCTTCAAACAAATGGTCGATGTAGGTCAGTAACTACAGTCAAAATGTCGTCTTTTCTTTTTTTACTTCCACATTCTCTCATGCCACAAACAGATGGCGTCGAGAGAGAGAGAGGGAGAGAGGGGGGGATGGAGAGAATGTGGGAAAGAGGCTCATAAAGGAGTAGGGGCTACACCAGGCCACATTAGCCCGGGTCTAGCTGCCCCATCACTAATCTGCACCCAGCGCGTACGCGGAACCCACCTCGTCATGCCAGGACGCGGGAGGCCAACATGTCTCGCGTAGGCCTGTCTTAAAGAAAGTTTTCGCTGTTAAGTTTTTTTGGGTCTTTTCTTTTAAAGATACAGCGCAAGTTTTGGGGGGAAAACAGCGTTTCTCGTTGTTAAGTCAAACGCTAGTTCTGGTCAGCGCTGCTGGCTTGTGTGGCGTGCTGACGAGATCACATTTCGGTCGCAAGCCAGTGTAGACAGAGTGGATATTTTGACACCGCAGAGCACCGGGAAGATGCACTGCAGCAGATAACCTGTAGCCCAGGCTGCTCGCTCCTGTGGGGGTGTAGGCCACCACAGGTTGGCTGACGGGCTGACAGAGATCATTGATAGGCCACAGGTAGCCTCCCCTCGCTGCACTAATGAGGGCAGGGCACATCTCACACTGGCTGTCAAGGGAGATGAAGGTCCTAGATGTCTATGTATGTCTGGGACTGCATCTTTAGTGCCATTTTGTGCATTTTTAATGCAGATCCAGAGAGACCCATCATCACCTTGTTGACCCCTTCCATACCGGCCATGCAGTGTCTCATCATGTATGGTGCACTGCATGCAGTGAGGCAGCAGCATACTGTGCATACCAGCTGGCAGCTTGAGACCTATAGATATGCTGTGATGCACTTTGCAGTCAGTGCATTTCAGTTGCTGGCAGCAATTAAAAAGACATCTTCCCCTTGTGGTCCATGGGTCATCTGATTGATGGTCATTTAGATGGAAATGTTCAAACGGCTCAGCATCGTTCGTTAAGGTAGCACTGCCGCCATGCTGATCGTTATTCATGCTGCACATCCACTCCAAAAGTGACCCATTTCTGCTGTTGTGCGTCCCGAAATGACACTTTGACTTAACTGGCTTAATCATCTTAGTGCCACAGGGAGTGCAGGGCGTCAACCATGTCTGTCCAGCTCACTCTTCGCTCGTGTTACTGAAGCCTTTTTGGCAGGAGAACCTCTTTAGTTGGAGCTCTTAAATTTAGCCGCCCCAGTCTTGTTTTGGCCTCCCTTTGTTGCCATATGAGTGCTGGTCAAGTGATGCTGCTCTGATGGTTCTCACTAGAGTCCACCTTCACCTCTGTATTGTAAAGAGGGCATTTATTAGCTTGTAGTACTTTTTTTCCCCCAAGTTGTTAAGCAGCTGTAGTGGGTGACCAGTCACTGGAGTACTCAGCCTTCTTGAATGCAGCTGTGAGCCGGTTTGACTTACACTGTTTGAGGATAACATCTCCACTCTGGATTTGCATGACGGCATCTCGCCAAATATTTATTTGCCTCACTAACGTGTCTCTCAGGTGGCTGTCGTTTTTGTTTTCTTTGGTGTAGTATTTGTTTTCTTTAACCTCGTGTTAAAAACCTGTCTAATCTGCTCTACTTTGATTTTTGCGCGTGTGCTCCACGGTGAATAAAACAGACACCGTGTTGAAGTTTTTGGACCAGACTTCTTTGTTCAATGAGCTGAACGATTGCATGAGGATGCTGAAGTAGTATTTGGCATCATGTCACTTATGATGATTCCTTAACTTGATTCAATAACAGCGCATCAAAAAAAATCACAGGATCAACAAAAAGCACTGGCAATTTCTCAACAATTCAGGCTCATACTTTGCCTGCAGGATTTATGCCTTCAAGTTTAACTGAGCAGTTTTTTATTTCTTGGCTGGCCTGACTTGTACAGTTGGTGATGAATGAATTTCCTCAAGTTTGGATCGATAATGTGTTATTATAATCCTGCTGCGGCTGCTACTACACAATCTGTATGCTACTCAGGGGATCATAAACCGTTCATCCATGGATCATCAGCTGCAGGGTGACTGTGCTGTACAGGGTCCAACTAAGCTCATCTGCACTTCCAACATGTTCCTTAAAAAAACAGAAGCAATCATCACACCAGTCTGAAAATTAGACACATCTAATTAAGATAGATGAAAATTAAGCATTCCCTTTTTCTCTCCCTTCTGTCTTTATCAGGATGTGAGAATATAGCTGTGCTAAAAGCTTTAGAATCGCTGATGATGGTGTCAGCACATTGCAGCTCGGCTGTGCTGCAGGCAGGGTTTAAAAAAAAAGAGAGGCTGATGTTTCTCGAAGCACAAAGGCCTAATGTGTGGGGCCTGTTGGCTACAGCCATGCAGAACAACCTCCAGAGTGAATGCTGGTTTGTTTGTATATGTTCTGTTAGAGTAATGTATGCCTGTGTAAACGCCAGAATATCCAGACCTCCTGCTACTGTGAAAAACTGATAACCAATAAGAACATTTACCATCTGTTATCTGAGTGTTTTAATAATGTCTAATGTGGCAATAATAACCAGTTTTATAATTTCACAACAGACGACATTTCATTGGAAGGACTGGCATCAGTTGGCAAATTCTTATTTAACGGCTCGTTTTTGGCCTAACATCTGTAGCTAATGTAATTTATTTAGACATGCTAGTGGTTTGGCTCCTAGCGTTTGTCTGGTGGTTGAAACACAGGCTCTGTGTGTGTTCGTGTCAAACTAAAATATGGGGGAAAAAATAAAATAAGGTTGAGGAGACTGCTTTGAAACATCACGTTCTTGGTTCCCAGAGTTGAAACCCTCAATCGTCAGTCATCCTGTAACCTCACCTTGAGAGTTGTTCTTTTTATCTCCTTGTAAATTAACAAACAAACAAAAATTTCGACAGCTTTCTACTGACTGTAATGTGACGTAATACTAGTAATACTACGAACATCTTGGTAATGTAGGTTCCTCCCTGATATTTCCACAAGAGCCACCAGTATGTCAAACTTTTTGCTTGTTCTGTGTCTAAATACCAAATTGTCCTCTGAATATGTCAGGTGATATTGTTTCACTGACGTTCATGGTCCCCAGTGGACGATTTCTTCCAATTTTAGTCATCCACAGGCTTTTATTCCAGTGGTAATCTAACGTAAGAGGTTAAACGCTGACTGAAATGTCTTGGGAGAAGTAAAGCATAACTGTGAAGAATTTGCTAGACTTCCACTTAAAGTGAACTGTAAACTAGTGTAGGTTTATTGTTTGTCCAACATCACCCTAAGGTAAAACTTAAATTTTGTCAAATATTTTTGTCACTTAGTTCTTGTCTTTTTTTTTTAAATTAATGCATTTTGATCATCATAGGGCAGAATTGTGAATATATTTGCATGTTTAAGGAGGCAGCTGTAGGAGCATGAGCCCTGTTTCAGCTCCACCTTTTCTTGGTTTCTACAGTGATGGAAAGTTACGCTGAGTCAGCATTATCATGCTGCAGTTAAAGATGCACAGATACACTGTTTTTAAATGGCTTAAAGCTTAATTGAGTTTTCAAATGAGCTTCAAGTTTTGATGAATTTAGGTTGCTGCTGGCCCCTCCTTGGAAGTCCCTCTTGAATTGTCTGGGGAACATGTCTTACAAATTTTGTGTTGCTGACCTTCCTAAGAGATTGTGTCACAATTTCTTTCACATGTCAGGGCTTGACATTAACTTTTTTCACCAGGAGCACATGTGCTCCTAAGTTGAAAAAGTAAGGAGAACACAAAGAACTTTAGGGCCACAATGAAAATTGATCAAATAATGTGTGTCTTATTAGTCGACGTAAGTACTATTATTCTAAATCAATTTTAGGTCTTTTGGTCTCATGTGATGGAAGCTATTGAAGAAAATGTCCAAAATTTGCCTTTTAAATTTAACACAAAAAAATTTAGAGGACAAATTAGGGAAATAAAGAGGTGTGTCTTATCGTCCGACCTTAGTACTATTATTTGAAATCAATTTTAGGCCAATTGGTCACATGACATGGAAGCTATTGAACATCAACCAGTAATTTATTGATTGTCCCTTATTCAACACCCGATGTTGACAGCAAGGGTGCTGAGTAGATTTAACCGCACTGCTGTAGCTATTTCCGGTTATTGAGAGTGAGAAGACACTGGTAGATCTGCAGTGAATGTCGGTTGGATGTACAACCTAACACTAGCTTCACCGCGGTATTTACATGAAAAAACATTTGTTGCCTTGGCTTAATTTTTTTACGGGCATATGTGCCTCTAAATACATTTTGCACACATCTATTTTGTATCGCAAATGCTAGTGAAAGGTTGCACTGTCGAGCCCTGCATGTGATAATTTAGAATGAATCAGTTCTTTAGCAGGGGACGTCTTCTGTCCAACAAAAAATCTTTTTTAAATTGGCATTTCCGTTTACATGGATATGATAAGGTTAAAGCATACAGATAAACATTGGCTACTGACATCTGTGCATGGCTCATTATTTGCCCGTATGCTGATGTCAATCCACAAGGCCGATATTTGACATATTTTTGATGTTCAACTGTTACATTAGTGCACCCCTGATCACACGGCTTCATGAAGCCTCTGCAGAAAGTAGTAAGTGACTCATGTCATTGACTAAGGAAAGACTTGAATACTTTAAAGTAGCATTAGAGTCCAGAGACAGCATGTAAAGGATGTAGAGTCTGTTTACTGCTGATTCATGTGCAAAGAACAGAAAAAAGTCTGTGTCAGCACCCATTAACGTCAATAAATCTGAAGTCTTCTCAAAAGAGCAGCGGGTGTTTTAATAAAACTCCAGTTTGTGATGCTTATTAAGTGCCATGCCGGTCAGTTTGGTCTGACTGCAGGCTGTCCCTGCCAGCTTTTCAGTGTGAAGTCGCTACTAGTTGTCTGGTGAGTCAGTTTGTCAGTCAGTCCTCTCGAATCCTGCCAGTTTCTTGGTGTGGAGTAAGAGTAGCTGTCAAACTTATTTTTCTGCAGCGTGAAAACAAAATACATTGTACAGTCTGTGCACTACTGTATTCAAACAATTTGTTGTTAAAAAAGAAATTTTGTCATTAAGCCACAAACCTCATTCAGTGTTGCCTTCAGGTCTCTGCGAGCCTCTCTTCAATTAGCTAACAACCACTTTCCAGCATAGAGCAGAGCAGTGGCCTAGTTCATGCCCTCTTGAATGTAATTTTAGCTCTGTGTGTGTGTGTGTGTGTACGTGTGTGTGCGTACGTGTGTGTGTGTGGATGCCTCTCTGTTTTGTCTCCTCCTTTTATCGTCTCTGTTTCCTGTTCTCTCTTTCCCTCTCTGTCCTCTCACGTTGTTCCTGTGCCTCTGACAGTCATGACTCTCTGCAGTACCCGGGTTAGTGATGCTGGGGTGGTTACCCTGTAGTTTTTTTTTTTTGTTATGGGCTCTGCTATGACCCTGTTTCCCTGGAGGAGCGTGAGACTGTACAGCTGTTTGATGACGGTTCTTTTCATTGAGACCTGGTGTTCCTCATCCATTACTGGTGAGACAAGGTTAACACTGGGGTGGTGTAGCAGTTGAATAGAATAGAAGGAATATTTAAAGATGAAATATCAGTGATTTCTTATGTCAGTAGATGTAAGCAGAAAATGCCTATCTGAGGAATAATTGAAAAAAAAAGTCAAATATAGCCCCCACAGAGCAATAGTCCCCAAAACTCGCCCGACTCACACAGTTCTGAGACAGAGCTGCTGGGTATGCCATGTAGGAGTAAAAGTACTGAGAACCGCTGGATATATAATAAAGATGCTTGAGAATCCGATGCAAAATAGATTCAATGTAAAATCTGACTTTTGATCCAAAAGATGCTGCGAGGTGCAGAATCTCAGATGGATTCAATCTCATGACAGTGGATCAATTTTCAATTTTCTGTGGAATAGGTTCAGAAAGTTCCCCTAAAACACACCTGAGTTTAAAGTAGGAGTTGGGAACATTTCCAGACATTCTTCAGATTTTTTTTTTGTGAAAGGTGGACTGTATGAGATACTTGTTAATGTTAAGTGTATTACTCAAAAGTAATCCTAGTCTGTTCAGTCCCCTTGATTAAGAATGTATCAGAAAACTGAAGCTAGACCGTCAACCGCAGCAAATGTGCGCACAAATGTGCGCACAAATGCACATACAGATCACCATACCATGGTTGTTTCCTATCCTGGACTCGAGGCACCCAGATGAGACGGGGTTCATCAAGACGGAAGTCTAACCAAAGGCCCATTTTAGTTTAGTTTTTCAAGGCCACGTGAGAGGTCTCCCTCTGCTCACTAATGGACATTCCTCTGTAATCACAGGTAACCATTGTTTGACTTCACAGTACAAAATCCATCACTGGTACAAAAGAATTTAAATTTTCTGATGTGATTTGATGTGAAAGTCAAAGTTCCCAAACCAACATTTCAGCAGCATGAAAGTGGTGCTACCCATGCTGTGTTTGTGATCATGTTTCAAGGTCTATGTGGGGACCTCATATCTGAAGCTTCAGTTCTGCATGTACCATATTTTTTGCACTTTAAGGCGCACGCACCTGATTATAAGGCGCACCATCAATGAACGCGTCTGCTTTCATACATAAGGCGCACCAGATTATAAAGCACATTAAGCCAAACAAAACAGTCAGATGAGTCAAACTTTATTGAACTCATTCAGTAACTCCGTGAGGCTACGGTAGCTGCAGTGCTCCAACGAGCCAAAAGGATTTTAAGTGCGCCTTATAGTGCAAAAAATATGGTATTTGAATTCTGCAAAATCGTTAAAACAAGTAAGATAAACATTTGTCATCTTAGCTCAATCTTAATCTTCAAAGGTCATCACAGTGTATTTTAATAATTCAAACACATCACTTAGACTTTGGGCTGAATCATTGTAAATAAAAAAAAACTGAGCGCTGAATACTTGCTCTGAAAACTCTCCTCCATTTGGCTTCTCTGGATTTCTGATTCTACTTGTGGAAACTGAGGACAGTCGGTAAAAAGCAAAGGTGTTGAGTTTGGTCCTCTGGATAGTGAGTGATGCAGACTGCAGCTGTGTGTGAACTGCTGGATTCCTCTGATTCAGAAAGGTTACACACCTGCTGCACCACCAGATAACTTAAGATCTGTCCGACAAACTATCACAGGAAGTTCCTCTCTTCACTTCTGGTCTGCTTAGCCTTCTTACTATCCTCTGTGCCCAGCGTTTCATCATCACTGTCAGAATCACTATTTTGTGTATTAGTGATTCTTGTGTCTGAGGACCTGTAGAGCTGATTAGTGCGCTGCAGGCAGAGAAACACATATGCGTTGTGTTTGTATGAAGACACGCTCGAGCCTCTTGAGATTGATACCAAATGTTGCTCATTTATGGGGCGGTTTCTCAGAGGTGAGAATGAAGCCGAGGATGATCTGCTGTAGTAAACGGTTGTGTATCTCCTCCCTCATTGCTTTCTCTCCTTGCTTTTTAAGGTGGCCGCTAAAAACAATTTAAAACTCTGAGCAGGTTGGACAGCACGTTGTAGGAACCACTTTCCTCTCAGCATAATCCAGCCTTTAGATTACACTGCTTCATTTGGCAAATGAGCTCTTGAATCATCTCTAAATTATGGGATGAGAACATTGTTAACAGCTTTACTTGAGTGAGCACAATTTTTGGGATGGCTTGTGAAATTTATTGGACAGTACAAACTGGATTAGTATCATATGAAGCGACTTTAATGCACTAAATACTTTGTATGCTGGGGGGGGAAACTGTTGGCTGTGTCGTTTCAGATTGAACGTTGAAGATCTTTCAACTTAATTCCTGAGTTCTTGGGTGTTGCATTAAGGGATTATTTGGGCTCATGTAGATAAAGTCTGTCATGCTGAAGTATTTTTTCTCCATATATTTCGAGTTTTGAACATATTTGATGTTACATTTGCTACCAGACTGACTCACTAGGTGCTTAAACCCTGTGAAAGCCTTCTGTTCAATCAGAAACATCAGGAAAACCATTTCAGGAGTTTTAAAGTGAAGGAGGCGCTCAAGTCTAAATCTGAGAACCCACTGTAAAACAGAGAGGAGAAGTGCTTTTTTAAAACACAGTCTCTCTGCTGAAGTTTCCTTGAGCAAGACACTACTATACACCTCAGAAGTGTCTGCGGGGGCGCTGTTGTGTCACTGATCAATGAAAAGACAGTTTCCCTCCAGTGTCAGAACATTAACTTCCCTTGTTTGAATTTCCTGGGGACAGCACTTTATTTCCCTCCTTGCATCCTATTTTGCATTTTCACAAGTTCCAGGGGGGTCAGGGATGTTGAATATCAAACCACATGAGCATTAAAGAAGATCTGTGAGAGAGAAATTGGTTAAGGGAAGTGTGGAGTGATAGAGGAATGGTGGGCATGATACAGGGAGAAAAAAGATAAGAAGGAAGTGATGGAAAAAGAGGGGAGCAAAGGGAGAGAAGGGGAGGGGATGTATCCATGGAAACATGAGGGGAGAGGGAGGGGGGTGATGTAGTTTGAAACTGTTTGTTACAAAGCGCTGGAACAAAATGAAAGGCCCACAGCAGCGTTAAACAGAACAGCAGGGCTGACGTGTATCCAGACTCTGGATTCAGTGGTTTCTTGTATTCTTGATCACTTAATGCCTTTTATTCTATTATTCTATCGGATCAGTGACATAAGGGTGAAACATGGCGGAGGTCAAATGAAATCTGGGACTGCTGTTTCAGTGCTGTGCAGTCGGTTTGCGTTGATGACCTTGTCAACATTAAACAGAAGCAGGCTCTTTCTTTTTTCATTCATATATTCATAGAAAAGCTGAAGTACTAAACAGCAGGGTAGTCTGTGAATGAATGTGTACGCCACAAACTATGTCCCCATTTCCTTCTCACATTCAATATAAGCAAAGGAACAGCAAACACATCACTGGTTTGGGAATTAAGGATTTTACTCCCTAGGGACCTCTTTTCATTAACACTTTAGACTCTATACTTACCTAAGGCTCTGTAAAAATAAATAAGGCTATCACCCATCTGCCATTTTCATTTACTCTTAGCTTTGGTGCCCATTCATAGAGTGATGAGGGTCTGAGATCAAAACTTGAGTTCAAAGTATCTACACCCGTCAGTATGAATTATTTCTCCTTTATTAGCACCAATAGCAGAAATGAAAAGTCATCAGTGATTGACACAAGTCAGTGAACACTTTTAAACTGAACACTGTTGATTTGAGTGACCATTAAGGGTAATTTCTGATGATGTTTGTTGCATGTGTGCTTCAACTTGAATTATTTCTGTGGGAGTGTAATGAAATTTTTGATCAATAAATGGTGTCTAATTTTTCCACTGAAATTGATGTTTTAGGGCTTTAGGATCAAACATGGGCTGAAATGTTCCTCCAGTGTCTTAAGATAATTAGTTGGTGACTACAGAGTAGATCAAGAGGACAGTGATAGAGGAAAAACTGGTCCGAAAATCTGGAGGTCAATGGAGTGGATGACCTTTGACCTCTTGGAAAGAAAATGTCATCCATTTGAAAATGTGCCATAATTGTCTGTTTCATACTTAATGCTCATTCTTAAATTTATTTATGGTCAGAATTATGGCGTAGTTTGGTCAAACTTATTCTTTGTTCTTTGGTGGATGTTTTTATCGTATTGAGAGGGATTCTGCAGACACGGATAGCCAAACTGAAAACAGAAGTCTTTGGTCTCAGCATAAAAGACTAAAAACAACTAATTATTGAAGTATTTGCTAGTCCATAAATCGTGATTGAGCATACTGAAGCTTAGGTATCTTCTAAAGTCTCTAATTTCTTTGTTGTTAAACAGAAATGTAAATATTTTACCTGCCAACCGCCTGAAGGTATGAAAAAAAATCTGGAAACCGTCATAATTGAGCATTTCTTTAAACACTGATTAACACTAAGTAACAGTCGACACATAAACAGTGGTTTGCCTAGTGCTGCTAGCATTAGCAGAGCTAGCACCACCTGATTTAGTCCCCCTTGCAGGTTATTGCTCACGCAAAGAGATGCCATCTGACATCTGTTCCAGTGTGGTAGATGGTTATATCATTGTGGCAGTCGTTGTGAGCACATACTGTTGCTCCGGCTGGTGGCCGTGCTACAGCTTAGATGTAACTTGTAATCAGCTTTTGGATGCACAGTAACAAAACCATACATGACTTGTTGAACCAACCAGCAGCGCTACTGCCAACTAGCAAAGGTCACAGTCTTTAGTCCACTTAAGCCACAAGTTTTCAGCAACCACTTCAAAAACCCAACAATAATTTCACCCTAAGAAACCACCAAGTACATAAAAGTACAAGTTTTCATAGCCTATAACTCAAACTTTTTTTTTTTCTATGTGAGAGAGACATGTTGGAAATTTTTCTGTCATCAAGTCATGAGCAAAAGGACAAGTCCCCTCATTTATTGGTAATTACATTATCTAAACCACAGTGTGGTAAATAATTAGGAGATTATCATGGAGAGCGAACAAAAACCTGAAAGTAAAACAGTGGCAGTTGGTCTTTAAGTGTTAAAATGTCTCTTTTTAAAGTGAAACTTAACTAAAATGTTGCAAACAAACTCAGACCTTTAAAAAAAAAAAAAAAAAAAAAAAGCTTTTAAAAAATCTGCAACAGCGAGCTGCAAGCACTCACATCCATTCTAGTGTTAAATTTCATTTGGATTACACGGTCAAGAAAAATGAGTTTAAGCGCATCAAGGATGTGTTGAAATAAGGTGTATATTTATTTTCCAGTACCCGCTACACGTAACTCTTAAATATATTGATGAAGTGCACAAACAGTGATTGGGATTATATAAAAAACATGTGTCCACACAGATCCCACAGAAACGGCCTATTTCCTTAAAAGCGTATAAATCTGAGATATTGGCCTATCGGTGCTCTGTGGATTTCTCACCTGTGGGACAGTGTCATTAACACTCTCGTAAGTCCTGTTTGGTCAGGCTCTAATGGCAGCAGCTAACAGTGAATCTAACCAGCCTGGACTGTTGATTGGAAGAGGATGCTGTTGGTGGTCACACTCCTCATAAAGCATACCTGAAAATAGTGACTGTCTGCAGCTGTTAGCACCTTAAACACTGTGTAGGAACAGGGGGATTATTTGCAGAGCAGCCTGGAGCACTTCCTTTATTCACACTTGATGCACACCTGGATTATGGCTGTAAAAAATACAGTTCATGGTGACATGTGTTTCAGCTAAAGCCTCACAGCAGACACTAGAGCTCTGCTGCTGTTTCTGAATAATAAATATCAAAGTAGTCCTGACACAGTAATATAATGTTGCCTTAAATGTTTTCAGATAATATGTTCTAAACTAAAATAATAACAAATGGCATTTATTTTTTTATAGAGATGCTTTAAGGGATGGCTGTGGCTCAGAAACAGAGTCGGTCATCTTTCAGTCTGAGGGTTTAAAACCAGGTACCACCTGCAGAAATGTTCTTGGACAAGACACGTGACCCCAAACTGCCCCCGCTGGCTACAGCAGTGTCTGCACGGGATAAGTTAATACTGATCTGCCATCAGTTTATGAATGCAGTGTGGAAGGGTGAATGTGACATGTAGCGCTTTGATGAGGAATCGTTACAGAAACATAGTCCACTGACCATTTTACATAGTCCATTAAACTTTGACAAATTCATGCATAAACTGGATACAGACTGTAGCATTTGTTTGGTGGTGGGCCCCTAAGATTAGACAACGTCCCCACAAAATGCTTATGTGCCTGTTCTTCTGTCAGTATAGCAAATAATCATGAGCTGTTGTACATTGAGGTTCTGAGCAGTTTAGCTGAATAAAAAACCTGTGCCTTCCCCTCAATGTCTTTTTTCCCCATCTATGAACACACACCATACCTGAATGGACACGATTTCACCCTACAATGGTCAACATCAGGATGCTGAACTGTTATGTTACTGGTCCTGTGTGTGAGAGTGCATGTGTATGTGTGTGTGTGTGTTTTTGTGTACGTGTGCTGGCCAAAGAGGCCTTATGAAACCCACAGCACCATTCTTCTTTTTCGTGTTCCTCTTGCTGCAGCCATGTTTGTGAAACCACAAAATAGAGCCAGATAGGTTTTGTGCTCTTTTTCTCCCTCACTCGCTCCCTATTTTTTCTACCTCTTTCTGTTTTTCTCTCTCCAGCTCTCTTCCCCTCCCCCTCTCTCTGTTCCCCTTTCCTCATCACTCCCTCTCTCTCTCTCTCTCTCTCTCTTTCTCTCTCTCTCTCTTTTTTTCCTCTCTTGCTCTAGGTTTCCATCAAGCTTTACCCCTCCCTCCTCTCTCTCTCTCTCTCTCTCTCTCTCTCTCCCTCTCCCTCCTCTCTCTCTCCCTTTCTTTCTCTCTTCCTCTCTCACGTTGCACACTGCCCCTCCCTCCCTCTCGGTCTCGCTCTCACGTTGCTCCCTGCCCCATCTCTCTCTCTCTCTCTCTCTCCCTCCCTCTTTCTCTCTGTCTCTTTCTCCTTTTTTTTCTACCTTTTTCTCTCTCTCTTTTGCTCTCCCTCTACATCCTCCCCTCCCCCACTGCTGCCTCTCATTTTCTCTCCCCCCTCCTCTCCTCTCTCACTCCACCATTTCACTCTCTCACTCACTTGCTCACTCTCTCACTCACTCACTCACTCACTCCCCCTCCCATCCCTGTTCTCTTTATCTCCTCCCCTCCCTCCCCCTTCAATCCCTCTTTCATTCCATGCAATCATCTGTTCTCTCTCTCTTTCTCTCTCTCTCTCTCCCTCTCTCTCTTTCTGCTTCCTCTATTACGCCCCCATTTTGTCCTCTGCTGTTTCCCTCTCTCTTCTCTTTCCTCCATGTTCTCTCTATCCTGTTGTTTACCACACTTCCCCATGACATTTATGCCACAAACTTCTTTAAAAAAACTGTTTTCTATCTCTGAAAAAACAACATTTTCACATGTTTGGATGTAAACGTCTCTCCCCATTGTAACCTCATTAGAGCCATCACTCAGTGGCACAAAGGCCTTCATTATTTACATAGACTCAAATGGAAACCCCTGCATCCAATAGCCATCCGCCCTAAAGTTAGTGGTTTACGGTGGCATGGTGTCTTTCTCTGTTTGTCCATATTCAACAAGTGGTTAGGTCTCTGGTCTACCAAACAACCACAGATGACGGTCTTCCTTGGAAACCAGATGAATCAGGTGGCAGCCTCACCTCTCATGCTCTCAGACAGGATGAGCCTATAAACCCATCTGAAATGTAATGCAAGTGTTGCTGTTGTTACTTCATGTGATTTGACGGCCTGTTTATTGTCTGCTTCATTGATAAAACCTCAAACCCACATACCTGCCGATGTAACAAGGTGACACAGGAGTTATACCAGGACTCCCATGGTGCATTTTGGAACTAAACGTTGAGTTTATCCCCATCATGCTAGTGCTATTGTTCATTTGTACTTTTCCCCCACAGTTTTTCATGTGGCCTCTAAATATAACAAAGAAATTGAAAATGCTTTCCACGATTTTGACTAGCTCACAAGAATTAAAAACACAAAGCTGCAAATAGTTTTGTAAAGTTTGAAGAAACAGATTAGATTTTTTTTCCTTAAATAAAAAAAGGGGGCTCTAACCAAACAGTTCAGTGTTCACAGGTGTCAGAAACACTCCTCACAAGAGCTGTAATGTGGTAACGCTGATATCTGTGTGATCAGAAAAACACTCAAAGCTAACTACAGCTTTCACTCCTAATCATAAATTTATAACATAAACCAGTAAAGGAGACCAATACAAGGTACTTAAAAATAAGGGGCTTTGCTCTTTTGGCCTTTTTTTAATAACCAGAGCCGTCACACCTTAAAGCAAGTGACAGTGTTGCAAGGGTGCGCCGACAGTCAGTCAGTCAGTTTGGCTATCAGTAGACCAAACATGTCAAAAAGTTCCAATTCATACAGTATGTGTTTATATTCAGAGCGAATAGTGTGAACTGGACAAACCATCAAACTGCAGACAACCTGAAAAGAAAAAAGGATTGAAGTGTGTTTGTGAGTTTGTCGTCGAGCTGTTGAAAGCAAACTGCTGTGAGCTAAGTTCACAGTCAATCTTCCAGCTGTTGTTATGATGGAAGACTGACTTTTTTTCTACGTGTCAGCTCATTAGAGGCAAAATAATCTGCCTTGTTGTGAGCTTTAAGCAATACAGTCTTCTCTTTGACTGTGATGATGACCAGTGTGGGGAGAGTAGGGGATGACATGCATCAAATCCTAGCAAGACTATCTAAACATTCAGAATCATCGTCAGACAGTCTGTGACAATAGCAGCACTTTCGACAGGGCACTGCTTTTCGTTTTCAAAAAAATGAATTTCAAGTTTCATTGTGTCAAATATCATTAATGCAAAAAAAGTGCAAAGAACCACAGAGGTCAGTCTGATCTAACTGATAAACTAAAGCCTTCATTCAGTTTTTTTAAGAGTCAAGAATCCAACCATGATCCTACTTTATAGAACAATTACATGAAGTTTCATAATTGTTTGCAGAGAAACTTCTGACCTCATCTCTGCTAATTTATCGGTGGAATGAATGAAAGCAGAATCTGTTGGAATAAGACACAGTTGTTCTGGTTTTCTTGCGCTTGTTGGCGGTTTAAGAGTAGTCGACCTATTTGATATCAGCAAGCACATCAAAAAGTGCTTCAACAAAATCCCCAGTATTTAAATCCAGAAACCCGCCAGCACGGCAGTCATCCAAAGCTGTATCTGATAATCATGTCATTTCTGGTCACATTGTAAACAGCGAAAATATGGCATTGAAGAAGGCTTTGCCAAAATACTTATTTGCCAACCGTCTGATAATCCAGAAGCCTTGAAAAGTTGGCCAGTGCTCCCAGAGACTGTTTGGTTTCCAGACAGCAGCCGTGGTTTCTGAGATAACTTCTGACCAAACCGCCTTTCAGAGGTTCTCTGGTAGACTTCTCAGGTTGATGGTTTCCAGCTCCATCCGAACAATGTCAGACTTGGGCCATAACTCAGATTTGTACATAATAGTTCTCAATAAAAGACTAAGAACAAACAGCTGTTAACACCTCACACTGGAATAAACGTCAGAGATGTTGAGTTGGGAAAAGAGTCGCGTGAGCATCAGCTTCTGGAGTTGAGAATGAGAGGTGATGAAGTCACACTTGCTGGCATGTTGTGGAGCTGTGAATGATGGTCTGGGTAACTTCTGTTGATGAGCAATGATCAGACGACATTAAGAACTTCTTCCTGCAGTAAAGAAGTTTCAACCATTCAAGAAAGAGATTGTTAAAGACAGACATTGAAAGTGAAACCATGCAAAAAAAAAGACAGTGGAGGGGATTTTGTTGACTACAGTCTGCAGAACGTGTCATCTGTTGTTGTAAACACCTGGGTTGTGATTGTTGGGAGTTATGAGGTTGCTGAGTTTTATTTTGTAAGAAAACTCAGACTAAATGATCTTTCAGTATTTGTCATGAAGTGGTTACATAAACCAAGTTTGAACATAAACTTTTGGAAATATAGTTAGTTACCTTTTGATGTAGCTTTGTACCACCTGATAATAAGATTATCAATCAAAAAGAGATTATAGTCAGTATACACAGGGCTGTGGGATTATTTGAGCCTGAGTTTATAAATCACAGCTTATCAGCAGACAACACTCCTTAAAATTTCTCCAGCCTACCTCTTTGATATACAGTGTAGATGATTTCTTTACATTGACATAGAAGACCTCGTAGGAAAGCAAATTCTGGCAAAGCTGCAAAATAAATCATCCAATTATTTGCTATAATGATCTCTCAAACATTTGGCTGGTAAAATGTGGTGATATCTCCAAGTCTTTGGTCCCGAACCAAAATGCAGTCCACGTTAACAAAGCTGCAAACAAAAGAGTCAAGATCATATAAGAGACGCTGAGTCACCTGAATTTTCTCCCTTCATTGTTAAAGAGAATTTCATTTATGATTTATGACAAATTGGCATTGAGACTTTAAAAATGCCCCAGAGAGGTTTATACCAGGACTCTCGATTTGTTTCCTGTGTAGAGTAACAAGTTAATTGTCCCTGTAGAAGAAACTATGATAGGGTTTAAAACAGAATATATTTATGAATATCCTTTTATAACCGATCTGTAAAATAGTTCAGAAAAAAAAAACATTCATTCCTTAAAAATGTTCAAACTGCATTCAAGTTGTTTTCTGCTAATTTATCTGTGTTTTGTAAAAAGGATAAGGAAAAGGATGGCTTTGGCAGCTTGCTTGCCTGTCAGAGGTGACGAGGGTGTTACTGTATTATCAGTGAGTGTTTAAGAGATGATTTCAGCAGAGACAAAACACCCCACATTTTTTGTTTTATTTCACGGCTTCTCTACATCGTCCTGCATCAATGTGTGAAATGTGTGAAGAGTTTAAGCGAAAATAGAAATGACTGCAGATTTCATTGACTCTCAGGCTTTTCTCTTGTGACGATCCATCCCAGCTTTTAGATGGTGACTTGAACTCATTTATTTATAGAGTTTGGTGAGTGAAATGGAGGTATGGTTGAAGCAGTGGTGCAGGGTTAGCTGGAGCTGTGGAGGTGAGGCCCAATGTGATTCAAGACAGGTCATTTCCAAAAGTGAAAGCCTTACAGTACGGAATCAGTAGTGATATCTAAAGAGTTTGTGTTGATATTTAGAATTTTACAGTATTATAAAGTCTTGCATTCATACATTAAAATGCCTTGAGAAACTGTTTGATTAAAGTTGAAACTATTAGCAGGATGTACAGTAGCTAGCAGTACGCTAAAAATGTTTTCCCTTGGATGAAATGGGGAAATCCACGCCCCCAACCCATTTGATTGGTTCCTGCAGCATCTCTTCTTCGCCTGTTGTTTTTCATCCTCTGATAGGAAAGGGGGAGGGAGAGTTATATGCTATAGTAGGGGTTAGGGTGAGGTTAGTAAGGTTAGGGTTAGGGTTGGGGTAAGGGTAAGGGTTAGTGGTGTCGATGTAGTGAAATTTAAAAACAGGAGGGGGCGTTTTCGAGGTAGAAGTGAGAGACTGTGTCGGAACCAATCAAATAGGTTTGGGGCGTGGATTTCCCTATTTCATCCTAGGGAAAAAAATCTCGCTAGCAGTACACTAGATATACCTACAGTACAGTTAGGTCGCACAATCACATGTTTGCCAATCAGATAGTGTTGTGGGCGGGACTTTGGGAGACACAGAGTTGTAAATGAAAAAAAGACACACTGGTGGCAAAGCCAAAGTAGCACACTCTTTAATTCACTGATAGTATTGGTGATGATCACTAGAATAAATCACCATTACAGATAATCAGCCAAATCCCAAATATTGGCCTGTATATTGGCCGAGGCTGATAACTGGTTCACCCCGACTACCACAAACAAAAACATGGGGCCCATTAGCTTGAGCTGGTCATCATTAAATTTATGCAACACAAGCTGTTCATAGTGTCATCTGCTGCTTTTTTAAATTTCCCAAATTATTAGCTGATAGGCCGTTATCTGTAAACATGATGAGGATTGGCAAAATCGGATACCAGTGCACTCCCAGTAAGCCAAAGTTTTCTGTTTTTTGCATTGGAAAATTATGGTGAATTCAGGGTGTTACAGTTGCGGTTAGTTTTTTCTGAATGAGGGAGTCACTTAATGGAAATGAATCCAATATATAGTGTAATGAAGTGAGTTCAATAAACCAGAGCCATAGAAAGGAGGGCTCGGTTTGTAGTTTGAATGCTTTCTTGGGTCGACAACATCACCACAAGTCTTCTGGGCATCCTAAATGTAGGTCTTGTGTGTTGATACTCTTCTTCATCTCACAGGGAGAAATGTCAGTCAGTTCCCGATTCACTTTAGACTGTTGGCCCCCATCATTTACAGCTTGGTAATTTGGTGCTATTGTGTTGTCTCAGTTTCATCGTTGGCAGGATGTGTGTGACCTTTGTGGACTCGCGGGCCACTCTTGGCTCTGCCTCACAGCTCCACAGTTATCTCATCGCCCTAACTTTACGGAGAGTGCGTGCTCGGGTCGTGAGAAGACGTGAAGAGAGATGAAAGTCCCCCCCACACTGGAACCTCCATGTTTCCTGAGCTGTCAATCAGCGACCCTAATTTGTGTGTGTGTGTGAGTTTAATCGAGGCAGCGAAAAGCAGGAGAAACAGGCCTGTTTCATTTGTGCTAAGAAGCAGGAAAACACCTTTTACTCTCTCTTGACTCTCATTTCATCTGCTTCTTCCCTCCATCCATCTTCCATTTCTCTTATTCTTTTACCGCATTCTGCTCCACTCCTCCCATCCCCCTCTCTTTTTCTCCTCTCTCCCCCTCCCCTCTCTTTTCCTTCAGTATTCTCTCCTTCCACTCCCTCCCTCCTTCTCTCTTTCTCCATGTTCTCTTTCTCTCCTTCATTCGCTCATCTCCTTGTCAGTCACCTCTCCTCCTCTTCTACCACACACTTCTCCTCCTAAGTCTGTGCAGGAAACAATCTTCCAACACTTTTCCCTACTCATAAACCCTGCTTGATAAATGAGAGGGTGAAAACAGAGAGGGAGGGGAGAGAGATGGAGGAAGCAGAAAAGGAGATAGAGGGATAAGCAGATAGAGGAAGAGAGACAGACAGGGATAGGCAGAAACAAAGACAAAGAATGACTGACAGAGATGAAAGAGAGGAGGATGAGAGAGGCGGGAGGCTGCTTGGTGGATCTATAATTTCAGCTTGATATGATTTTGATTTTATTTTGCTGCTGAGTGCGACTTTGAGCTCATTCATCAGACACTATCAGGGAGCTCGGTTCACATTTGTACAAGCTAGTCCTTCTTAAAACATGCACACGCTCATTTGTTGGAGGACTGTTTGTTTTGTGTCTGGTGTCACTACCAAAACTGTGAGGAAAAGGAAGAAGAAGAAGAAGAAGAGGAAGAATAGGAAGAGGGTTGGAGGCGGGCAGTTTAGGCCCCGCCCCCTCTCTTCCCTCACATATAAATTGGAGGTGAACAGAGCCCATTCTCACTCAACACTTGCACTGAAGAATGAGATCCTTAAAGCACCTGAAACCTCACAGCAGGAGGAGCGTGGTGAGTTTCATGCTAGCATGTAAAGTGCTAGTTTACTCTCAGGTGGATTTAACCACAGACAGCTAGGAAAAGCGCCTTCAGATTGACTCTTTGTATCTTTGTTCTTTGTTTTCAACTTGCTGTTTGCAGATTTCGTTATGCCAGTGCTTTAACTCATTATCGCCTCTTTTGGAGCTCTTATCAACTCTTTCTCCATACCTCTTTCTCTCCTCCCTTCCTCTTTCTTTCACTTCACAGTCTTTATCTTTCATTCTGTCTGGCTCTCATTTTGTCATTTTCTTTCTCCTTCTGTCTCCTGGTTGCTCACTGCCTCCCCTCCCTCCCTCCCTCCCTTCCTCTGTCTCCTCGTATCTTTCTTTCTCTTTCTTCCTCTTGCTCTCTTTTCACTGCTGCCTCACACTCACCCTCTCACTCTATCACTCTGCTCTCCCTCGCTCCCTCCCTTTCCCTCCCCCCTTCGTCTCCTTATCTCTCTTTCACTCTCCCTCTACCTTTCATTTTTTCTCTTTTGCTCTCCCCTCCCCTTCACTAGACTCATGCCTGCTCTAAGCTCTTTCTCCCGCTCCTCTCCCTCCCTCCTTTCTCTCCCTCTCTCTCTCTCTCTATCTCTCTCTCCTTCCTCGCAGCTTTTTCCTCTCTCTCTCTCTCCCTCCCCTCTGTTCTCTCTCAGCTCTCCTCTGTTTTTGTCTCCTGCTTTTCCATTCTCTTTTTTTCATTTCTTAATCTTAGTCAGTTTTTCTTCCTCTTTTTCCCTTCTTGCACTTGAATGTGACTGTGTATGAGTAAGTGAGTGTGTGTGTGTGTCTGTGTGTGTGTAAGTGTGTGAGTGTGTGGATCAGTAGGCCATCTAATCCCCAAAACGCACACATACACACACAGAAACCTTACATGGTAAGCACTCTGGATTAGATGGTGTCTTTCAGAGTTCCTGTATCTCAGTCACTGGGTCTGAAGGTTTTCCTCAGATCGTCTTGATTCTTGTTGACTTCTTGTCGATTCGGGGTGATTTCAGTCTCTCTGGGAGGAAATTCTTTGTGTTTTTTTTTTAAGCAAAGTATCCTCTTTAATGATGCAATAAAAGGCTCTTTAGTGTCAAAGTCTCTGTTTCCTCTCAGTGTTTCTGCTTCTATCTCTCCTGACAACCAGCTCCAGGAGATGTTACGATTGGACGATGAGGCTGGACACCTTATTGTCCTTATTGGGTCACTTTTATCAGAGACATGATCTCATTGGAGGACAGTCCGTGATAGTTTGGCACTGGGACTTGTTAGTTATTACTTTTCTACCTCTGTATCATCACATCAAGCATTCGAAGTGACCAGCGTCGGCTTGTTTTGAAGCTGACATTCACATCTTATGTGTTCTTCGCAGTTTCTTTCTGAACAATATTCGTCTTACATTTCATGCAAGAAATTGTTTGACACAACTGAACAAAGCTTTGCTCAAACTCAGAGTGATTACAGAGAAAATGCTCCCCCTTTTATTTGCTTTCCCATCCAGCTGTGTAGAATAAGTCACAACAAACCGACTTTATCTCTAAAGATGTTCATAGAGATCTAGCAGCCTGTCTTCATTGCCTCCCTGTCATTCTCACGTCTCCCCTCTCTGTCTCTGTGCGTCTCTGTTGCAGGAGGAGGCGAGCCGGCGCCTGGGTAGATGTGAGCCCAAGGTAATGGCCAGGCTGGTGGACATAGGCACACAAACAGATCCGGTAGTTGTGCTGTCCTTGGCCCAGGCCGCCGTGCTAGGTCTCATCTCCCAGAATGAAGTGTTTGGAGCTACTATTGCACCCAACGGCTTCTACACCGGCGAACCCAAAGAGTCCCCTGCACCACCAGTAGACGGAGTCGACTACGAGTACGCAGACCAGCTTATTGGAGCCAACGGAGATTACCTAGGAGATAATTTGGGAGAAGACGGACAGATGCAACCCAGCTGCAGCCAGAGGAGGTGGCAGCAGGGGCCGCCGCAGCATCCCGATGGGAAAATGGTCGTCCCTGATCGTCACGGCCTTCAAGGCGGTGACGTGTCCTCATCCCACGTCAAAGGGGAAGTAGTGAACTCTGGAATGTCCTCCTGCGTCCACATGCTGAACAATATGGCTCCCAGAGGTGGATTAGTTCAGGTGGATCCAGCCACCCTTCGAGGCACCAACAAGAACTGTGCAGAGTGTGAGCGGGAAGCCTCCAGCCAGCAGCAACCCAACACACACGTTCACCCTCCTCCTCCACCTCCTCCTCCTCAGGTGGGCCACAGAGGAGCGGAGCAGGGCCATAGAGGACTGCAGGGCCAGCGCCCGATGGGCGGCCATGGCCGGGGAGGCAGAGAGGATGAAGAGGATGTAGATCACCAGGGTAACAATATGATGAAGCCCTCGCAGCAGGATGAGGCCATCAGCAGCTACTTCCAGACCAGCGAGGTCGGCAGCTATGATTCAGGGGAAATGGGCATGGGGGGCGAGTACGAAGACGGCAGCCAGAGCATGATGTGGAACGACGGGAGCGGCGGAGGGCAACACCAGCAGCCTCCACATCCGCAGCCTCCACGGAGACATGGCGGGCGCAGGGTGGACAGATTAGATATCAACATCCAGATTGATGAATCGTACTGCGTGGATGTAGGCGACGGTCTGAAGCGCTGGAAGTGCCGCATGTGCGATAAATCATACACCTCAAAGTACAATCTAGTAACGCACATCTTGGGCCACAACGGCATCAAACCGCACGCCTGTCCTCATTGTGGAAAACTCTTCAAGCAGCCGAGCCACCTTCAAACCCACCTACTGACTCACCAAGGTACTCGCCCTCACAAGTGCACCGTCTGCAAGAAGGGCTTCACCCAGACCAGCCACCTGAAGAGACACATGCTCCAACACACCGACGTCAAGCCCTACAGCTGCCGCTTCTGTCGCCGTGGCTTCGCTTACCCGAGCGAACTCCGAGCACATGAGGTGAAGCACGAGCGCGGGCGTTGTCATGTCTGCTCCCAGTGCGGTATGGAGTTCCCCACCTACGCCCACCTCAAACGCCACCAGACCAGCCACCAGGGCCCTCACACCTTTCAGTGCACCGAGTGCAATAAGTCTTTCGCTTACCGCAGCCAGCTCCAGAACCACCTGCTGAAGCACCAGAGCCCGAGGCCTTACACCTGCTCCCAGTGCGGCCTGGAATTCGTACAGCTCCACCACCTACGTCAGCACTCGCTCACTCATAAGGTACTAACACGACAGCCGGACACTCCCATTCCTACCCAGACTTCCTGAATGTTCTCATATGCAGCCATACTGAGCATGTTAACTGTACAGACTAGACAGGTCAGGGTTATTCTGGAAACATGAAGTGATGATAGTGGAAAAAGAGAGCAATCACACAACAAAGAGGCACTGTTGGATCACCCACTGAGGCTACCACACCTCTGATGTGGTTCATCCTCCGTCCTTTACCCTCTGAGAGCTCTGAGGCTTGAGCAGTCAGGTGAGAGCTCTCACCCTGGCATTGATCTGTTTAATGTACTGAGTCCTCCTCTGTCTTTATTTTGGGCATTTTTGTTACTCTAACTTTGCTAATGTTCCAGGAGACACGGTCGATGTTGGTAGTGAGGGCTAAATGTCAAATTTTTACACAGAGTTAATGGCAACCTGTGTGAGATTTTTTAGGTGGCGTGAAAAAAAGTAAAGCTTACTCATCAGCAGTCAGGCTGCACGATATTGAAAAAAAAATAGAGTTGTATTTTGTTTTTTTTCTGCAACATTTGTTGTGATACAGAAAACTGAACTCTCATTTGTGATCTTAGGCAAATTTTCTACTTACAACACAATAATAATTATAAAAATTATTTATATAGCACTTTTAAAAACAAGAGTTTACAAAGTGCTTTAACATGCAAGAAGATAAAAACAACATAACAACAACAAGAGAACACTTGGGGGGGAATGTCACATTACTGGCAATAAAGAAATAAAATAAAATAAAAATTGGTGGAAGACGTAAAAGCTTGGATGAATGTCACGAGCAGAGACGTCATTAAAAGGAAAACATTTAAATGAAGACATTATAAGAACCTGTGATACTCAGCCAACACAGGAACCCAATCACAAAAGCCTGAGACTTTTAGGGGACTATTATAAAACATGAATAAGAAACGTAAAAGGTTTTAAAGAAGACAAATTCACATAAAAGCAAGTCTATAAAAACGAGTTTTAAGACATGATTTAAAAGCTGCGACTGTTTCTGCACACCTGATCTTCTCGGGGAGGTCATTCCAAAATAAAAGTAACCTCTTATTTACACTAATTTTGGTTCAGCCTTTTACCAGCAACTATCAGGCCAGCAGAGTATAAAAGGTGCTGTGCAAAAACAGTACTGGTAAACAGTGCTGAAGCATGGTATATAAACTGATATTAAAGAGTGTTTTCTGGCTAAGATAGCTCACAGTTTGCTGCTTTTTCTTTAATAAACATTACCTGATTAAGCAACATTGTTCCCCTGAATTCAAACTACCTCCAGACAGCTGTTTTCATGACTGAATAATCACCAGCTTCTCTCTGGTAAACTGACTGCTGGCTAAAGCTTCATTTGACTGCTTGAACAGTAATGCCCAGACCTCTATCTTCAGGTAAAAATGTGCATATTGAATGAGAAAACATTGATTGTATACATGACATTATACCCTGATTTATTGCAGTAGACTAAGATTTCAGCATTGTGTTTATTGCAAAAGCTAATATTGATAAATTTGCGGTTTATTTTGCATCTTTAATCAATAACATGTAAAGGAAGACTCATGGCCCGTATGAGGCTTCTGTCATCGTAGTAATAACAGGTTTGGATTAACTGCTCAACTTTAGTACATCGTCTCAATGAGTTTCTGTCTTTGTTCATGTGGACAAATCCCAGAAGTGTAACCAAATAACACTTGAATCAGCTCTACAGAACACCCTCTCCTTTAAAAGTATACTTTAATATCTTCTGCATAAGATGTCATGATATTACAACCTTGATACTAGAGAAGCCCCTCAGAGTGATTTCTACATCCCCTCTGAAACAGATGCTAAAAATGATCTTTACAGGAGAGGGAATGAGTTTATAGGATATCTGAATTTCACAGCACAGATTCACATTTCTGTACATCCACTACATCTCTGTGTCCTCCTCATTAACGTCCACCTCATTTAGTCCTCATCTGACTGAAATGTCTCTAATTGCTCTGTGCCCCCCCTCCCTGTTCTGCGCACATACACACACACACGCGCGCCATTGGAAGATAGATGAAGATGCTGAGAGATCACAATTCATTTAATAAAACTGCAGGCATACCTTTCCTTTAATTCTCTCCCAGTTTGAGACCTCCATGATAAATTGCCATTTCAAGAACGGCCTCACATCACATCCTGATGTTTCTCTGAATCTGCTCCCTTCATTTACTCTGAACAGTGGATCATTGTTTTTGCTTCATATTCAAGCCTCCACAGTTATGAATGAAATATCAGCTGACTTCCTGAAGATTTACCTTAATTTGATTACTCTCAGCGGAACAAAAATCCTAATCCAACTCTATTCTCCCAGCCAGTATTCTCCCTTGTGGTTTATGTTGTAGCATGCCGTCTGCTCACTGCTCCCCCTGGTGGACGTAAAAATACCAACAGGTTTGTTTTGCAGACAGTAGGAGGACTGACAGTTTGACAGATTTGTCTGTTTACTCTTACACTGACTGTCGACACACCAGTGACCTGTTATACATATTTGTTCTTCGCAATAACCCAGAATCCAGTTATCCAGACCCACTTTTTATGTCTGCTGACATTCACTGCAGAGTGGCGTGTGTGGTGCTGCAGCATATTCAGTCAAGCCTCCAGGCCTGAGCTGCTGTGAATCGTCTGCTCTTGTGACCCGCTTCTCTGTGTTTGTACACTTCTTGTCGCATGTGCGGGAAAATACTGGAGCAGAAGAAAACAGAGAGCAAGACGGATGTTTCTTTTTCTTTTTCACTCCTATATCGTAATCCATTTTGTACCTACTAAAGCTCCAGTGGATTCTGTTGTAGTCAAACGAATCGAGTTTACAATGCTAAAGCTGCACAGCGTTCTTCTTACACTGACACATCCAGACCAGTTGTTATACTTCGGCAAGTGGCTTCATCCCTATTGTTCTACGAGCAAGTCTTTAACATAATTATGACAGCAATGGTTCAATATTATACAGACTATATGATATGTAATGATACTGTGGATTTGGAGAGTTTCATCATGGCAGACCACTGCATGAGCCAAGCCAATTAGCTTACTGTTTACATTTTAGAGAGAGTCATTTTCAGGCAAGTGTTTGATTTTGAGACAGTTGGGTGAAGCGGACAAAGAGATATTCTTTGATTTGAGTTTCTTTGATGTTTCTGTTTTAAAGGTTTTAATGAGAGATGTCCTGGCTTTAGATTGTTCATTTTTGATATGAGAGGGATTAAGAATGAATGAATGAATTTAATTTATTTGGTTATACATTATGTTAAGGCTGCAGGATATTGGAAAAAAATGACATTGCAATTTTTTTCAACCCTGCGATATATATTGCGATATTAAAAAATCCATGAATTTTCACCACATAACCTGAATAGCACTTTATGTTATTATGTCAAAGCATAACAATTTGTGTGAATCCAGAACTACCAAAAACAACACAGAACAAAATATTATATATGTACTCTCTGATGTCACACAATATCCTCCACACAATCATGAACCAAAAAGGAGCAGGCTGAAGTCGAAAGGCTTATTTATACCTCTCCTAAACAAACCATAAGATATCCAGAATATCAGCAAACAGAAAAATAAGTAAAGAATAACAAAATACAAAGCAAAAACACAGCAAACTAACTCTTACTCTAAATTATAGTCCTTAATTATTTTATCTTTTAAAGCTTTTTTGAAATTCATCATGTTTCATTCCATAGTTTGGCTCCCAAAACTGACACACATCTGTATTTTACATTTGTTCTCACTAAGAATGACGTATTATGAGTGATATTTAACTAACAATGGCTGTAGTAACCTCGTATGGATTTGAAATGATAGTGTTGGTTGGTGTCTGACTCTGTTCAGCAGTCTAAAGTCGTCCTAACCCCAAAACAAGCTAGGAAGCTCTTCCATGTGCTGAATATGACATGGCTAACATAAAAACACTTCATTGTTTGTTTCACAAAATCTAACTGTGAAAGAAAAGTCTTTTACTAAACACAAAAACATTTTCTTCCAATATTTTTGTGTCGTAGATATAATACCCAAATAATAAAAAAAAGACCTGTTGGATAATCCTACAGGTAATTGTTCCAGAAAAGAGGAAAATTAACATTTTTAAAGGCTAATAAATGATGTCAGATTACTGGCATACTTGATGATACCCAATACCAAGTTTAAGGCAGAATAAGAATCGTTTAAACTAATATCATTATTAGAGCGACACCAGTGAGACGCCAGAAAAGTAAATGGTTTAAGGTGGTTATTGTAACAACTTAGTGTTCAGGGTATTAAACAACAGCAGTAGTTGTTGTCTTGAGCTGAGTGTAGCTGCAGCCTGAAATGGGTCAGCATGTAGGCCGGACCAGCTGCTTAACAACAAACAAACAAACAATCCTGCTGTAGTTTTTTAAAACATAGGAATTCACCACTTCTACCTGTCTCCTATATTTTACTTCAACCCGCCTCACCTTGTATCTCCTTGAACTGTCATCGACCTTCACCTTTTACTAATTTCAGTGAAATTAGTGATAATTGATGGTAAATTTTCTTCATTTGATTGATGAACACTTCTCCTCTATCTGGTCTCTTTTAGGGGATGAAAGGTCACAAGTGTGACGTGTGTTCCCGGGAGTTCACCCTGTCTGCCAACCTGAAGAGGCACATGCTGATCCACAACAGCGTCAGACCCTTCCAGTGTCACGTCTGCTTCAAGAGCTTCATCCAGAAGCAGACGCTAAAGACCCACATGATCGTTCACCTGCCTGTGAAGCCCTTCAAATGCAAGGTGACTCTTTGAGAACCCTGTTAATTCGTAGGAAATGTAGTTCAAGGTGAATTTTGACAGACAGGATGGTTCTGTCATTAACCAGAGGCTTTGATGCTATCTCCACATGCATCTGTAATCATGTGCAAGATTGGTTTAAAGGCTATAAATGTTCAAATTTTTCCTTTTCCAGGTCTGTGGCAAGTCTTTCAACAGAATGTACAACCTGCTGGGTCACATGCATCTCCATGCAGGCAGTAAGCCCTTCAAGTGTCCTTACTGCACCAGTAAGTTCAACCTGAAGGGAAACCTGAGCAGACACATGAAGGTCAAACATGGGATGGATGTCTCACCAGAGGGACAAGGTGAGGCCTAATGGAGAAACTCTATGTTGCTCTGTACTTTTTCCCTACTTTTTTATCTACTTTTTGTCAAAGAGGATTGAATGTGTTTGCTCTTTGACTAAAATACCAATCTCACATGTACATTTGAGTGGCGAGGCAGCTTAGTTTAGCATCTGTTGAAGCAGTATTCAGTGGGCTTTAACCCAGCGGGAATTTGAGAAGACTTTTTAGTGGTATGTAACAATAATCCACAAAGTTTCCTGACATGTGCTCTTCAATGTTGTCTTTCTTTTTCAGAAGTTCTTCCAGAGATGGAGAGCCAGGGGGAGTATGAAGGACAGAACTTCAGCTTTACATCACCAGACAATATGGACAATGGTGGCTCCCAAAACCTCACCAAACTCACAACAGCAAACATGGAGGACATGGAGGAATATTACAATTTTGGGAAGGATACGAGCAGCTACACCACCCCCTGAGTGGTGATGAACCAGTTATTTTTTTGTTTGTTTCTTTGATTATTTTGAAGGCAGGAGGAAATTAAAGAGTTGTTACGGCTTTGAGAGACACTGGGGAAAGGTTTTTTCTTTTAGTTTTTGGCCTCCTTCCAGTAGAGCCAGAACTGCTGGACTCTGATGGGAAGCCAGGAAGGAGACGCACTTCTAAGGAGACGTTTTCAGCTCTGTTGCTGATAGCAGAGACACTGAAAGTGTTGATGCGGTCCAGAGCTCCTTTTTTGGGATTAGGGAGCTTGCCAACTCAAAGACTCTCACTGGCGGACAGTCGAATCTGTATGTCGTGTGTATGTATCAGCTACTTTGAAGAAAAAAGTAAAACGTTTTAGTTGCGAAGCTGTCAGTTACATTTGATGTGATCAAAATTTGTTTACCATTTTGCCATTTTTGTCGTTCACAACCAATGTATGCCCTTATATTTTTGACTGAAAGTGCCAGATAGAAAGATTTACAACTAAGCTTCCACCGTGTCAGCTATTTACTCACTGTATATCAAACTTTTGATACATAATCACAACATATTCATAGGTTTGAATGCTCTTACTAAACAGTTTCTAATTGTAGTGACCCTTTCCTGCCCGGCTCTTGGTTAAAGCAGACTACTCCTCTGATGCGTTTGTGCTTTTTGCACAGGACATTGCAGCCTTACTCTTGAGCAGGCACTTACCACCTGTCAAATGTCGGCTGATAGCGGAAAACATTGTTACTGACATGTAAAACCATAGACATAATTTACATAGACGCCTCATAGACAGGGGCTGCCTATCGGAGCTGACGTATCAGCGTGGCTGCCATCTTGGATGGGTCCCCCATGTGTCCCCAGTGCATTTATTTCTATTGAGGAAGGTAGGAATGCCCAACTAGATTAATCATAACCCCAGAGAGAGATGTGAAGATGTAGCTATGACACTGTCACACTTTAAAAATGCTCCAAATTATTTTTCAATCTAACTTGTGAAATGTAATCCTAGGGGGAATCTAATCCTAGTGTGAGGATACCCATCCAATATGGCGGTGACGCTGGATTACGCTCCAGCAGGTAATGATGCGTCTGCGTATATTATGTCTATGTGTAAAACCTTTTCACTGTACAAAGGATTCTTCAACATGCAGTGTGTTGACCTACTGTTTTTATTTCACATGGTTTAGCTTTACATTCATACCCATACCTGTGTAGTGAGTATACTACTCTAGTTTTTTGAATCACAGAGTGATCAATACAAAGCACTTTTTCATGAGACCTGACATTTTTTCTGTGAACTCATTTGCAGGTGGGGGAAACTCGATTGTAGAATCGCTTGAACTCGCCAAACAGCAATATCAATAAACACAAACAGATATGCTTTCTCTGCAGGTTTATTTTCTTGTAAACTGCAGTTTCCTTCATACGGATATTTCACAGTTAAAAGTTTCAAAAAATCAAAATGAAGAATGAGCAGTTTGGACCAAGAATCAGCAGTTGGGGTTTTTTGTTTGTAGTTTCAGCACTCTAAAATCCAGGGTGGTCTACACTTCACTTTCAGTTCACTTCATCCAGAAAAAACACAGAAATAAAGATCGGACTTCAGCTGTCAACTAAAAAGGGGGAAAATATCTTTGAAGTCTTGTTCCGTACTTAATGACTGAATTGAAAGTGGACTGAGACTCGTCCTGCTCTTATGATTCTGTGTTGGGGAGGACAGTCTGCTCCCCCTGTCCTGCCATGCAGGTCAGCCTTGTTATGCATACTAAACCTGAGGAATGGTCTTCTCATTCTTTTTGGAAAGGAGGAATATCAAACCGAGACCTCATGGAGATTAACCATGAATTATTTAATAAAGGTTCTCTAGTTTGAAAGATGAAGACTGCTGTTTTAATCTGTCGCTGTTGGGGAAATTCAGCAGAGTCCTGCTCTTTTTCTGCTACGCTAGTTCCTTCAGGGATGAGTCGAACTCCAGTCACAGGAAGAAAACATGCACACTGGAACCACATCTCCCTCCCCAGAGGACTGAAAATGAGGACTACATGGTGCACAGCAGAATGGTTGTTGACATCACATCTGCTAAATTACATTCATTTAAAAGTAATCCTTCATCTGTCCTGTGAGTTTCTGAGTGCTGTGATCAGTGGAGAGGTGTGGCTCCAGTGTGCTAGTTCTGTGCATGGCAGTGTTATTGATTTTTGTATCCAGCACATATTCCACAAAGGTTGTGTTGATGTACTCAAGCCTTCAAAGCTAATGATATCCCCACTAGCTCCGGCTGCTCTTGAACTGATGAACATGAACAGGCTAACATGTAAACTACTGTTGTGTTTGTGGTGAACTTTTTTCTTCACACTATGTTGATGTTAGCATTTACTTCAAAGCACCATTCTTACTCCCTCCAGAGCTGCGCACATGCCTGCAGACTCTTGTTATCAAAAAATAATTGAAACACACAACATAAGTTTGTACAGTCACTTCTCAAACAGGTGCAATCACTTAACAAAGTAAACATCCAAGATTTTGAGAAGACTCGCCCCCTGAGGTCACTGGCTTTTGTAAAATGCTGCTTTAGATTTATTCCCACTGTGAAATCTGTGGGGAGAAAAAAAAACTATAAAATAGTAGACCACACAACTAATTTACCAATTATGACGTAATTGTCTTCCCTTGGGACACAGTCTGCTGTGGAAAATGAACTTCAAGTGTTGGGATGTCTGTGGTCTGGAACCCTCAACTGTCTCCAGAGCAGATGCTTCTCCTGCGGCCTAAAGACTCACAGATTGGTCCTACACATCCAGTATATACACTATAAAAACCATCCTGCATGGTTGAGGGTTTGCCTTGTACCATGCATCGATTATACTTCCATAGGAAATCATTCCTCAGGATGTGATTGATCAGTTTGCTCAGAGATATCACTCTTTTATGGCTGCACATCATATAAAGTGGGAGGTTCTTCCGCGTTGAGCAGCTCTGTGGGAATGTTCCTCGTGGAGGAAATTAAAAAAGTGGGTAGTAATCTAAATGCTAATTTCTGGTAATTTTCAGATAGAGGCTCCTTGTTCATTTTCTTTGACTTTATAGTGCCTGTGAAGGAGAGGGGCGAGCATATTCCTCAGTGAGCTGCGCAGTGATGGAGTTAACCTCTGTCAAAACTGAGATCGAACACCAACGAGATATCAAACCAACAACTGCTCTGACAGTTTTTCTGTCTGGACGCTGGGGTTGCCTTCAGTTCGATTGCCATGTGCGTCCCTCCTTACCACATGTGGTTCCCTCAGATATCTTTCGCTCATCTTAATTTGACTGTCAAACGGTGAAATATCACACTAATCAGGTGATGAAGATGAACAGCAAAGCTTGAGGGATAATTCAATTATTATGATCAGCTCATTCAATCCTCTCATAATCAGCAGAACTCACCTTTTCTACTCTGTCAGCAGATTGTGACAAGCACCAACAGTGACCTGCAGTAACAATTTTTCTAAAAGGGAAAGTGTCAGTGAAAACAAAAGATGTAATGAAGACTGTAACAACACCACCCTGCAAAAGGGGCTGACTGAAACCATGACGACATCTGCTGGCCATAAACCATAGCCATCACCACAGCAGAGAGCTTGTGCCTCAACTTTCATCAGCTCGGCCCCCTGCTGGTGCAAACGAAAAACAAAAAAAACTCACTGCACTTGAGGGTTCATTCGACACACTCTGCATGAATGCCCAACCAAACAGGCTCAACATGAACGGTGTGAGATTAAAATATAAAATGAAATATTTAACAGGAGGACTTTCTTAATGTTGAAGAGAGCACCTCTTGTAAAACCTGGAGTGAATATCTGAGCGGTGTCCCTCCTAAAGCTCATGAAGGCACTGACAGATGCGCAGGGAAAAGATAACAACACAAACTGTTTCCGAGCAAATGAAAGATTTCCCTTTTTAATAATTATACTGACAGTGCAAAACAACGTCCAATTGGTCCTTAAACATACTGTATAGTTACATACAAAAGATTCAAACCTTTTAAAAAGGCCAAAATATATTAAAGCTATACTCGATATGAATTACTATACAGCAATTAATTGATTGTACAATATAAAATTGGTCCATTGGCAACAGCAAAGGTAGAGAGGCACAGTGTCAGTCAGTTAGACTAATACAAATAATTTACAAATAATGCTCAATTGGTTCCTTCAAAATTGGATAAGAATTCGTACAAAAAGAGTAAAAACTTCTTCAATTTACCGACAGAGTTTGTCTTTTTACATTCTGAGTGCCTCTTCAGATTGATCTTCATTTGCCCAGTGCTTTGTTCAGGTTGGTCTTGATAGCATCCAGGAAGTCTGACGTGTTGACATAATGTTCATTCAGCTTGCAGCTGCAGGATTAATACACAAAGGTTACAGTAATGGTAAATTATAAAATCTGTTTTTATGAAATGATCCATGTATAAACAACATGCTTGAGGCAGAGAAATGACTCACTTGGCCAAGCCATGAATGCAGCCTGCAAGGTCCTTGGTCATCACACCGTTTTCTACAGTTTCTACACAAACCTTTTCTAAAGTCTGGGAGAACCTGGTGAGAAAAAGATTAAGATTGATATATATATATATATATATATATATATATATATAAACATATTTCACATCAGTTATTGACAATGATCAAAGAAGAAAGTTAAATACTTTATCAAGTCAGGATTTCCGTCCAGTTTGCCTCTGTGCTCCAGTCCTCTGGTCCAAGCAAAGATACTGGCTATTGGGTTGGTGCTGGTTGGTCTTCCCTATGATTAAAAAACACAGTGCTGGTTAGTGAGACTTTAGCATTAATATGTGGTGTCTTTGCATTCAGCTATACTGATATTCCTACAAATGCAGACACGCAGACACAAATGCTTTTCCTCCCCTGACTTGTGGAACAGATTTTTCTGAATTTATCTCCAAAATGCCAGGATCTGTCTGCTTGACTCTGAAGGACTTGCAGATCTTTACCCTTAGCACCATGGATAAATGCTGCTTTCAAACACAAGCCTAGTTTTGCTTCAGTTTTATAACAAAGATGTGATGTTGAATTCATTCAACCAGGTGTCAGCAGGAGTGTGACCTTACAATCTGATGTTCACGGTAGTGTCTGGTAACGGTGCCGTGGGCGGCCTCAGCCTCTATAGTCTTTCCATCGGGACAAACCAGAACTGATGTCATGAGACCAAGAGAGCCAAAACCTGGACACAACATGCAGACCAAAGTAAGAAACATGTACATGTGTCACAACTGCTGATAAAAATGAACCTGCTTTCTGATGGAAAAGTGCTGAAAAAAAAAAAAATAAGAGCAAACACTAAAACTGAGATTAGTGCTCGGGTCAGTCTCTATAAATTAACACAATACTTTCAAAGACTTGAACCTGTCTTCACAAAAACTGTAGCCTAGCTTGCGTGTCAGCTCTCCAAGCTGTTTTTCATTTAAGGGGCAGCCCTGATCTGCATCCACTGTCACTTAATGGTGATTTAACTCATACAATCACCTTTCCAAAATACTGAGCTATCCCTCTAAAACCATACGGTGTACTTCAGACATCATTAAAATGAAGTGCACTTAACCCTGAGCCAGGATATCTGACTGCACGTCTCCGTCATAATTCTTGCAGGCCCAGACAAATCCACCAGAAGACTTCAAGACCTGAGCCACCATGTCGTCAATGAGACGATGCTCATACCAGATCTTTAGTTTGTCAAACTCTGGCTGGTAGTTCCTGGAAGAAAAAAAAAATTGAATTCAATCATTCTTATCTTTTTAACAGAGAGCAACCAATTTAGATGGTTTGTTGTTTAATTAAACATAAAAAAATCAAAATGCCTCTATTTTGGGTCCTAAAATGTTTGGTATCTTACTTCTCAAAAATATCCTGGAAAATGTCTTTGAAGCGTCCATCATAGGCCTTGAGGATTGTGTTCTTGGTGCTCATGTACAGAGGCCATTTCTTCTTTATAGCATACTGGAAGCAGCTGTGTGCAAATCCACTGATGGACTGTGCCCAACATAGGAGAGGTCACATTTTTAGCCATTTCATAAAACCCTAAATTCATGCCTCCACATAAACGTTTTAAAATAAAATCTTTATGTTCGTCTTTAATCTTTTGTATCTCACGCCAATAAAAATCTATAGCTAAAGATCTCACCTCATCTGTGTTGTACATTCCCATTCCACAGCCCCCTGCAGGGAAATCGTACACCACCCACTCCCTCTGCTTGCTGCCATCATTCGGGGAAAAAATGATCTTGAACTTGCCAGGTTGGTCGACGACAAAGTCTGTGGCCCTGTACTTTGAGATTAAACATCAAACCAAACATGTGAGTCTGCACCTCAATCAGTTTGGATACATCTTCAGCGAAATAAGCAAAATCTTCCATTTGCATTTCTTACCTGATCTCCAAAAGCGTGTCTGCCGATGGTTATGGGTTGTGTCCAGCCGGGAACAAGACGAGGGATGTTTTTACAAAGGATTGGTTCACGAAAAACCGTCCCCCCCAGGATGTTTCTGATGGTGCCATTTGGACTCTTCCACATCTTCTTTAGCTTGAACTCTTATGAAAAATATAAGTGCACACAAAAAACATCAGTAAATTCTTGCACGAGTTGGACATGAAATGCAAACTAGGAGCCAAACTTACCCTCAACTCTAGCCTCATCGGGGGTGATAGTTGCACACTTCACAGCCACGTTATATTTCTGGGTCGCCAGAGCAGAGTCAATGGTGACCTGGTCGTCTGTCTGGTCTCGGTAGGGCAAACCAAGGTCGAAGTACTTCAGCTCAACATCCACATTGGACAGGATGAGCTGAACATGCACAAGACAATGGGTTTGAGAAAAAAAAGACACGTCACCCTCAAATTTGCAAATAAAGAAAAAGGCTTAACCTGTTTTTCTTTATCACTTAAATCTTTCTGAACATGTGGCAATTTTCCTCTACCTTTTCTTTGATGAACTCCCAGATGATGCGGGTCATCTCATCTCCATCCATCTCCACCACCGGCTGGTCGACCTTGATCCGCTTCGTTACATCTGAAAAATGTACACTTCCATCAGCCGTCATGTTTTACTGAGTAGTTCCTGTGTAGTAGTGATAGTATTGAAATGTAGATACAGTAAACGTATTGCAGACTAAAACCTGTAAATGACTTTCATTGTTGACTGAATTCACATAATGCTGTGAATTGTAAATCAGTAACATATATAAATACATATGAATTTAGTTGAAATTATACCTCAAAGGGAATTTCTTGTATCCTATGTTTGATAGGCCAATCATTTACTGCAAAATTTGAGGACCTTTTAACATCAATAATTATTTGATACTTCAGGCAGATTCAGACTGAGAGTACCTTTTAATTTACAATATCACAAAATGTTAAGAGCAGGCTGTGGTGGGTCTTGAAACAATAATGCTCCAACTGCACGTTTTTAATGTGACTCTTTTTGGATGTGATTTGTGCAGCACCACAAAATGTACTGTCCTTGTCAGAGATGGACCGATTAATAGGCTGGGCTGATTGATTTGGCCAGTTAATGACACTTAAAAACAATTAGTACAGGCTGATATCTGGGCTCATGAGGGCAGTTAAAAAATAATGTCTTCAGAAACTGCAGGCGCCCTTTTTACTGTAGCAGCTGTTGCGCAACATTAATATCTTAAATGTTTTTTTGATTCTAAATGACAGCAGATCAAACTGAACAGTTACTGAAGAGTGCTTGACCTACTGTTATGATGTGTAGAGTAATTAAGTTTAGAAATATGTCGTGCTCTGTCATCCATAGCAGGACCCAATGTATTTTTCTACTTCATGGATTAATTCAAAAGCTATCGGAACCATATTTCTAGTTAAGACAACCATATTAGTAATGTAATGTGCATCAAATATTATAAAACATTTAATCAAATGCAAAAAAAGTGATCTAGGCATTATTTATTGGCCGCTCAGTGTACTCAGTGTAAAAAACATGCCAATACCAGTGATATTGGTCTTTTTCCATTAAGATCATATTTAAAACATTTGTTAGTGTTGACGGATCTGTTGTGCACTCACAGCCATGGCTAGTTTTTTGTTTGTCCACTGAGTGTCCATCTACTTGTTCCATTAAGCTCAAACAATAAAAGTTCTGTAGGCAAAAAAAAACCTGATTTGGATATATCAATCCATTTATTCTCTTGCGCCATGAACCAATCAATCCAACACAAATTCCAGCCGCCAGCCTGCGGTCAAAAAACAAAAGGCTTCTTGTGGACAACACCTGAAGTAATTATTGGGCAATTTAAATGTCCTTTGGTGCTCTCCACAGCGCCACACAGGTGAACTAAAGAGTGGCTCTACCAGTTAAAAAAAGATGAAACCAGTTTGTTGGGAATGAAAGTTGATGAAAACTCTGACGAAAAAAGCAGGTTATATTCCACTGTGCTTGGATGTGTTAATACAAAAACCTGTGTATTCAGCAACTCCAATATAACAGTAACAGACACGCCAGTAGCAAGGTTCAGTCTTGCTGAGGCAGGTAAAACTCTCCCAGAAATATTGACCTTGGGATTATATGGCTTCCAAGATAGCAGTTGCTGCCTTTTTGTACCTGATAATACCTGGACTCACATGCCAAGACAGGTTGGCACCAGATTAAAGGAACTAATATTTCAGCTTTTACCTGTTGAACTCAGAATGAAGTACTTCTCCTCAAATCTTAAACCACTTTCACTTATGTTTAATTTCTTTATTTCCACCAATTTTCTGTCACAGTAACATTCTAATGTCCTCTTATTAAGCTGCTGTGCTGAAATGAACCCTCAGAAATTAACAGACTTTATTTTAAGAGTGATTCAGAGTTGGCAAATCGCCAATCCGCCACATCGACTTCCTACCGGCGTCCCCTAAAAACGACATTTTTTAAGATTAGCTCAAAAACAATCCCTCTGTTCACTCACACACACACACACACACACACACACACACACACACACACACACACACACACACACACACACACACACACACACACACACACACACACACACACACACTGTCAGGTGACAGTTAAATCATTAGAGTAATAGTTTAGTGGTTTCAGTCGACAGCAGACTTACAGTTCCTGTGTTGGAGACAGACAGCAGCCGGTGAGAGTATCGCGGGCTTCAGAGCCACAGCAGCAGCTACTCCTGTGGACACGGAGCTCAGAGCCTTCAAGTAACCCGCCATGTTTGCCAGGGATTGACCACGGTCACGGACACGGGGCTGTCCTTATGAATGAACACTGTACAGGGAACTCCTCTTCCTTGAGGTTTTGTAATTTAAATCATTAGTTTTGCATTACTGCCATCTTGTGGAGACAGTTTACTCACATTGACTCAAGTTTGTTGGACTATTTTCTACCTAACATTTCTCTTCTCCAACTGTACTAAACGTCTGTCTCTCTCCTTACCCCTTAGTCCCTACTTTTCTATTTTTAGAAATACATTTCATATCTCTGGTTTTTTTCTTTTCTGTGAATATATTCAAAATACCTATTTGACTCTGCAGCCAAATCCAAACTCAGACTGTTTTTTGTTCTACACATTAACCTCTCAATTCAGAGCTCAGTGTGTACCCGTATTTCCCAATCTTAGAGCTGCTCTTTGTTGATTTTCTCCCATGCCGTGGCCTTTACCCCAATTTTTAAAATACAAGAGCAAATGTCCATGTTTGCTTTTCAGCAGCTTCTCTGGAGAGATTGTCCAATGTCATTTACCAGGATGGACATGTGCTGACCCCAGTGAATATGACGCCATTACCTTGTTTAACCAAATCCAAATATTGCCAATATTTTCTGACGTTATGGGATGCCTCTGAGGTCAGTAGGTAAGCAGGCAAAATAACAACTCTACTTTGTAATTATTCTCTAAGAGTAGACATTAGTCGTGTAATATCTCCTCCCCCATTTGTCACTCTTTTACACCTTCTCCACAAATAAAATTTGGCTCAAGTCAAAATATTGTCCAAAGCCCTCTCCGCAGCTTCCCTTCCAGGTTATAACCCGAGCATTTCCTCTTTTAAAGAGCATAACATCTGTTGTCTCCACTGGTAAATTGCTGGGCCTAAATGATCACTCTCTCTCTCTCTCTCTCTCTCTCTCTCTCTCTAGCGCCTCAGTTCTTTCTCCTTTTTCTTGTCAGTTTGCCCCCTCTCAGTTCTTTCAATGGCCTGTCATTTCTTGTATTACTGTGGCACTGGTTTTGGTTTTCCCATTGCTTTTATGAAGGGCCTCAATGCAGGACACAAATGAAAGTCAGAGTTTGGTTTGTTATCAAAAATTTCTGTGACGGACGATTACTGAATATTTCTATTCATTTACCCTTGAAATGTCTCTTCAGTCACCCAAAAATAACTCAGCCCCTTATCTTATGTGGCCAGTATGTTGATATTAAATACTTCATCCTCATTCTCTTTCCTTACACACATTAAGCTCTCAGGCTAGAGTCAGTGGTTCTCAAGTCCAGTCCTGGAGGCCCACTGTCCTGCATGTTTTGGATGTTTCCCTGCTCCAACACACCTGATTCAAATGATCAGCTCGTTATTAAGCCATTACAGAGCTTGATAACGAGCTGATCATTTGAATCGGGTGTGTTCGAGCAGGGAAACATCCAAAACATGCAGGACAGTGGGCCTCCAGGACTGGACTTGAAAACCACTGGGCTAGAGTGAATATCTTGAATGTATAAGTAGACAACAGTTGTTGCATTGTTTTTTTTACAGGCTTTTGTGTAAAATCAGATTAATGGATTTAGACTGATAGTAAAAGTTGATATTCATTGCCACTACATAATCCTTTAGAAGTGTCTCTTTTATTCACAAAACTTTAACAGTTATGCAAGTTCATACTATAATGCCAGAATAAAGCAGAGTCCATCAGCCTTATCTAGAAATATCTATGAATTGAAGTTGCCCCTGATGAAAATTCCAAGCTCATGGAAATTTGTTCACAGGTTTAACAGATTTTAAGATAGATAAAACAACACATGAAAATATTACATTCTTGGTGTAAAAAGCCCACAACATCTTACTTAAGGTGCATTTCGACTGCAGGAACTTTGGCCCGGAACAAGGGACCTAACCACACAGTCTCTGTGTGTTTAGACTGCAGGAACTAGGTCTAAATTAAGTTCTAGGGAAGAAAGTTTACCATGTGAAAAGCCCCCGTTTAGGGGTTATTCTTTAGTGGCACAGGGACTTTGTAGGGCAGGGCCTGATGATTTCGTTTGCATAAAAAAGCATGTTGTTAATTTTCATGTGTAATAAAACTACAGTAAAACTGGAAAACTGTATGAACACCATTTCCGACTCCGTTTATGTACATTTTTACTATCTTGAGGATGCTTTTGAGTGTTCTAACAGTGTCAGGGGTTAGCCTTATCAGGAAACCATGCTTTTTACATCATAATCTGATATACAATTTACGCACGAACACCAGCTGAGCAGAGACAAAGTTAAACAAGTAGAGGTATCAAAGGGCAACAGTACAAGAGCAAATATTTTCAGTTATCTGATGTCATTCGATAGTCAATGCAGCTTACCTGCTGCCAGTGTGATTTCTGACATTTTTTGTAAGAAAAAATTCAGCAAAGACTCTGAGCTGTGCAGGTAACTTCATTTCCAGATGCAATCCTTCGATGTCATTCGTCTGATTTGCATTATTTACCCTGAACTTCAGCCCACCACAGACAATAATGGGCCACAGGAACCCTTCAGTTCCTTGAAGAAAAGTCCCTGGGACTAAAGGTAAAGGGTGTTTTTGGTCGAAAAGCACCTTAAATAATCTCATCCAAATGTAGAAATTAATAAAAATAAAGAAGAGACCAATCAGTCACAGCAGTATGGCAGGTCACAAATTTAAATAAAACAGTAACTTTTTAAACCAGAAAATGTTCAGGCACTTTGCATACAACAGGAGGCAGTCAGTGCTCTACAGTAGGTAACAACTGTTTGCACATAATCTTAGGCAGTAACAACATTTGGAGACATTCAGAGACAAAACTTATTTAGTTCCTATCACTGCACACTATAAACTTTCATTACTGACGGATCTACAAGGAAACCGGGGTCTACAAGGGTCATAAACAGATGAACTACAGCTGCCTAATGTTGTACTTTAAAAATGTAATAAATAGTAAGTGCAAGTTTGAAAGGTGTCAAACTCAATTTCAACATAAGACAGGTCATTCTTTTAACTATAGCTTCCCAAGAACTAAATTTACAAACCTGAATTTGCAGTCACAAATTCTCAAGTTTAATCTGAAAAAAAAAAAAAGAAATAAAATCATCCAGTAGAAAGTTCAATTACACTATTACACGATCATTAGGAGATGTGCTTGGGTTTTCGCTCCTTCAGAGCCCTTCAAGTGAACACGCTCTAAGTAGTGGCAGCCACTGAGCCTCTCTTGTCATTGAAGAAGCTCCTCAGCATCAAGACTTGTCCGATGCCGATGACAAACAGCAGGATTGTTTCTCCAATGGACCAGTAAGTCACACGCTCAAGGAGATGCTCTGCCTTGGTGCGGTCATGAGCCTCTCTTAGCCTGTACCATGTCTGCGAGTCAGCCACCGTCCTTAAGCTCTCATGGATGGAGACACAAGATGACTCCAACTGAAATGAGTACAAAAAAATAAACCAAAACAGGAAAATATGAACAGCAGCAGATGGCAAATGCCTCTGATATGCTAAATTATATTCTTGTTAAGATTCACCTTATCTTTCTAGAGTTTTCCAATAAGTGTCAGGGTTAAAATTAGCTGGAATTTATGGTGGACAAGCGACAAGGGAATCCCTTATCAAGTTCTGAGTATATTTGATTCAGACTTGGCATCTGTGTTTGTGGTTATTGTAGAGGATGTAGAGCTTATTCAAAGGCTTGCAAATAGGATCCTGCTGGTAACTCTTTCCCCATCTAGTGGCCTGTACTTAAACTGCCTTCTCTTCATTTCTTCATGGAAATGCAATCAGACCGAGACGCTAAGGCAGAAGAACTACCGCGTCTGCAGTGCAAAATGATTAATATGGTGATTACTTAAAGGAAATGATAAAGTAATGATTATAAATGTTCTTCCTTGAGCTGCGTCACCCCGCTGCAGTCGATGATGGACTGGTTGAGGTCTCACTACAAACAAGTGCTGTGCTAAAGAAATCAGCAGAAGTTAAAAAGATGTTTGTTGGCTCGTGCTGTGGCTGGGACCCTATATGTACTGTTTATGAAGTTAGGTGCTGTTCTGAGCATTATTTGCGGCTATAGAGTGGCGTTTTGGTTGAGGTTTGTATATGGCTCCTGAGACTGCTCTGTATTGCTATTGTGCAGTCGTTACTAAAGTTGGTATAACTAGAGAAGCAAGCCGTAACATTCGTCTCTTGAGGGGGTGTCTAACTCGGTGTTACGGTATGTTTGACCCTAAATTAATTTCACGCTGGAATATCTCTTTAAAACAAGCAAAAATGACACATTTTGCTGCACTTGCCACCTCTATGACGGATCAGCTTGTCTTAGTAACTAGATGTTAAGTAATCTGCAAGTCATACTCATGCTGAAACCTTGATAGGGAAACTGTGTTGTGGTATTATGTCTGTTGCTTTCTGTGTTTCCCGTTTCTACAGAGCCTTGTTGCAAGTGTTTAAAAAAAGGATAGTCATTCAGCCAGCTAAATACAAACTTTTGAACAATAGCTATACAATAGCTAGATCCTAGCTAGGCTATACTTCGCCTGTGTCCACCATACTTGTGTAATTATATTCATATTAAAAGTTCTGGAAGCTATAGCCTTTGTTGTGCGACCTTAGACACAAAATCTACTTTTGCTATCTGTCCTTAAAGTTCATCTTGAAATGGGCAAAAGAAGTTTTAGATATGCTGCTCCTGCAGACTGGAATATGCTACAAACAAAGCTGTGTCTTGGAGAGGTGGTCTCTTTAAATCTTTTAAATGTGGATTAAAGACCATAGAGGAAGATGAAGCAGGCTGTAAGTGCTTTGACTGAAAATATTCTGCTCTGTGACTTTGACTTAGCTAGCTGTATATGTATATGTCTGTAATTGTTTATATCTGTAACTATGTGTAAGTGCTGCTGCCTGTCTTGGCCAGGACACTCTTGCAAATGAGATTTTTAATCTCAGTGAGGTTTTTTCTGGTTTAATAAAGTTTCATTTATTCATCCATTCATATCCACTCAAAAAAGTGACAGCAACAAACCAGCTGTTCAAAGGGTTGGCAAAAGGAACTTGGACATCATGTTGTAACCCAGGTACCCCCAAACCCACCTGAGTCAGAGCTGAAGAGCTAGTCATACTCTGAAAGTAGGGATCCTCGTCTCCATGGCGAAAGTCCAGGTAAACGACTTTGTGTGTGAAAGTGGAGAACTCATTGCTGAAGCAGACCTTGTAGACACCCTTCATTGCTGTGGTGTGGGAGAAGCTGTCATACTGCTTCTTGTTCTCATTGTACAGGACGTTGTTTAAAGGGTCAGTTACAAAGCAGTCCACATCATAGTTTCCTCCTGATATGACCTAAAAAATAGAGAAAGACTCACATTCAAGACACTTATACATGTAGTGACAGGTGTGATACTGTAACAGACTGTTTATTATTGAGCTGTAACATATGGAGGGAGGAAGTTGAGCTCATTCAAACTGGCTTTTATTGGTTAAATAAGAAAATCCTCTCTGTTGAAGCTATAAAGTTATACAACAGGAAAACATCTAAGTTTTCAAAAGGGCACCTCACCTAAAACACTCCTAGTTTGAAAGAGTCATTAAATAAAACCTTAGCGTTAGCTCTCCTCTGAGAACAACAGGGCCTGAGTCATTTCAGTAACAAATGACGGCACCTTGCAGAGACTCAGAGAAGGGTTAAGAAGCTTCTATGAAACTTACCTGGAAGTCAATATCAAACTTCACGTCTTTCTCCAACTCTTCGTAGAAACACTGCTTATCGTTGTCAGGGAGCTCGAACGTGAGCTCAGTGCCAAATACCACAAAAACATGCAGCAGCAAGAAGCTCAGTCCAACAAACAACATAGTGAAGGATTGAAACAAACTGTACAAAGCTTCAGCGGCACCGACACACAAGGCTAGATCCAGACATGAGACTTTGATAGCTCTGACGTGGCACCAGCACAATTAACTTCCGGGACAGGTTCGTTCTTTTTTTAATATAAAAACAAAACCCGCAGTTGTCGGACACTTATATTTAAGGGGTTCAAAAAGAGTTCGTATCCAAAGACAGCACAGAATAAAAGGTGAAACTTATGACTAAAATAATAATTAAAGTCATAAAACACGAAGACCTACATTAGTACAAGACGTACACTTCCGGTTTCAAAATAAAAGCCCAAATCTAAACCGAGCCGGTTAGCTTCTCAGCCTGCCCTCCCTTCACACACACACACACACACACACACACACACACACACACACACACACACACACACACACACACACACACACTTATAGGGATCATTACAACAAAATGATGAAGAACTTATCTTAATAGAGTTTAATAAAAAGGTACATAAAATGTACTTCTTAAGTAAGAGCACCCCCCATAGAACCTCTTTTAATATTTGGGTCTTATACACAAACACAGTTATCGGTGTATAGAAGCTTCAGTTACACATTTATCCGTCTATTTAACTCGAATTATTTTTCCTGTGATCACATGTAGTTTCCAGTCCAATCCGCTTTATTTATATAGCACATTTTTAAAAAACGTTCAAGTCTACCAAAGTGCTGCACAAAAAAAAATTAAAAGAACAGAAAATGCTGAAAACATCAAGATGAAGTGAGTAAAAGCAGGTAAAAGAAAATTAAAATGAAGTAAAATAAAATATTTATGCTTATTTAGTATTGCAACGTTGTTTTTATAATCATTTACAATACAACCGCCCCCCCCCCCCCCCCCCCCCCCCCCAACATTTTCATTCTTTTATCACAGTTTCTATGGCAACATGAGAATAACAATTTCTTAGCCTCTAACTCTGAAAATCCCTGTTGGTGAAAACCACGCCCCCTTTCCGGAAGGAGTATCATCCGTACAAACTGCGGAAAGGTGAAGCACTGTGATGCGGGACGAAATAGTATTACTTCATGTGACCGGTAAAGTGCTTAGACGTGTGTTTTGATTATTTTTGTCTATTCTTTGAATCTTAGATCTTCATTACATATTTCCTCTTCAGTTCGCAGAGGTAGACGCGTGTTTGAAAAAAAGGAAAACATAAGCAAACCTAAAATATGCAAAACTACGCAGAGGTGGTGAGAGACTTTGTAGAGAAACATGCCACCGGTCTCACTGTTGCTTTTGTTGCAGGTAAGTTACAGTTGTGCGTCTGATAAGTGTATGAAAGTTTTTTTATTATGTCACATTTCCTTAAATGTCAGTGAAAGTAAGGTTACTTACACTGCTCTCCTACTGTGAATGAGATCTGTGTGTCTGATAAGAATCTGACCCTGGACACTAACACTAACTGCTGCAGTCTGTATATGTGTAAATATATAGATATGTAGACATAAATGTTTGTATGACTTTTAAAAGGTTTAATGGTATTTCTTTTGTCAGTGCAACAAGTATTGAAACCAGCAGACTGCAGCTCTCAATCACAAGGCCTAATCTCTCTGAACCTTAAGCCAATTCTTAAATCTCCTTAGCACAATTGTTTAATTTAATTTCTTATTCTCCTGTAACTGAACTTATTTTAGCCACCTTGGCCACTAAGAAATCACACAAGAGAGTAAACAAAGATCTACTCTTTTCTGTCAGGAGCAGGTTTACTGGCTGTGCGCAGATGGTTGGCGGGGGGAGTGTGTCGGAGCAAGGTCAGGCTCGATGGAAAAACAGTGCTGATCACAGGAGCCAACACTGGCATTGGGAAGGAGACAGCCTTGGACATGGCCCAGCGAGGTGAGAGCCTCATTGCTGTCTTACTTTTTTCTGTTGCACTTTATTTTCATAAGATCAGAATCTTTTCAACCACCTTTTGACCACTGTGGCTGTAAAAGTCACTGTTTTATCGACACTTTGTCGTTCTGTCAAGGTGCCAGGGTGATCTTAGCCTGCAGGGACATGACCAGAGCTCGCATTGCAGCTGATGAGATCCGACAAAGGACTGGGAACGGCAATGTGGTAGTAAGGAAACTAGACCTGGCCTCGCTGCAGTCTGTCAGAGACCTGGCCAAAGAAATTCGGGAGAATGAGAGCCGATTGGACATCCTCATCAACAATGCAGGTATTTCACTGCTGTTACTGCAGCCGCTTGGCAGCAGTAAAAAAAAACAGAACAATTACATAATCATAATAATAACAACAACATTAGATATTTGAATACTAGATTCAAGTAGAGGAAAGCACTTGGGGACTTCAACAAAACAGTAACTAAGAGTGTTTTCCAACTGTTAGGTATCATGATGTGTCCTAAGTGGAAGACAGAGGATGGCTTTGAGATGCAGCTTGGTGTGAACCACTTGGGACATTTTCTTCTCACTAATTGTCTCCTCGACCTGCTAAAGAAGTCAACTCCAAGCCGCATTGTCATTGTCTCCAGCCTTGCACATGAGAAAGGTAAAATAAACCTTGGTTATCATCATTGTGAATGAAAACGTGTTATTTTTCCATGGCTTTTCTTAACTCCTAAATCTGTAGACATTTCCCAGTAACATTTTTATATATAAATTCATTCTTCACCTAAAGTTTCACTTGTGCTGTTTAAACTCTATTACCTCTTGATTTCTGTTTATATGCTACTTTGGTTTATTTGTTTTGCAGGTCGTATCCACTTTGATGACATCAACCTTGATAAAGAATACAAGCGTGAGGTGAGCTACCGTCAGAGCAAGCTGGCCAATATGCTGTTCTGCAGAGAACTGGCTACTAGACTGCAAGGTATCATCTCATACACATCCCAGACATACAGTGTTTATAAACCCATCCAAAAGTGTCAATAAAACTGTGTTGTTACCATCAAAAGTTCTGCAAGATTAAGACTGGAGAGGGACACGCACCTGACTTTGTCAGCAGTCCTATGATTTATGATGAAACTAACATCCAATGTGATGGATCCCTCTCTTTAGGCACTGGTGTGACGGTGTACAGCCTTCACCCAGGGGTCATCCGTACAGAGTTAGGCCGTCACTTAATTCCAACTTTATCTCTGTGGAAGAGAGTTCTTGCCATGCCATTTGTAATGCTGATCAAAAGTCCCTGGGAAGGAGCCCAGACCACCATCCACTGTGCTGTGGATGAGAGCCTGGCTTATGAGAGTGGTCTCTACTACAGGTGAGCACCTCTGCAGGATGTGACTGTTCAGACTGATTTAACTCAGTGAGTGATGCCTAAAGTTGCAGGTTTTTCTCCATCAAGAAGAGAGTGACCAGAAAGTGATGAACTGTTTGTAACTGCTTCTTTCATCAAATCAGAGTGTGAACATTTCTCATTTATATCTTATTATTCTCTCTGTTATGCAGTGACTGTGCCACTAAAACACCAGCCCCACAGGCCCTGGATGCTGCTGCAGCCAAGAGGCTGTGGGACCTCAGTGCTTCAATGGTGGGTTTGGCGTAAACACAACAGTCGACCCTGCTGTTGCTGGAACCAGTCTCTTTGTGAACACTGGCAAAGGAAGCGGGCAATGAGGCTTTTTAAAAAACCTTGTACAAAAGAGCATTGCAATAATATTTTAATATTTTAGTACAAAAATATTTGCATCATTTTACACCATTTAACCAAAGACAGCAGACGGCTTTATCTTTATATTCTACATAGTATTCATTATAATATTTACTTTATACACATCTAAAGTGTGCAGCTTTATTCTTAGCAAAACAAGGTAACACTATTTTTTTCATTTCCACAAGAACTGCTCTCCTGCACTGAACTTTTTTACTATTATGAATACCAAATTGGGTCAAACAGACCCTCAGATTAAGAGACTTCTAGCACTTTAAGATGCTGCTTTTATTGATAGCACTGAACAACAACAGTTTTTTTTAAATTTAATGACACCAGATTGTGACTCATCAACCTCATGCAGGAAAAAAAAAAAAAACACAGGTGAAAAAGGGTTAACTTGACCCAGAGTCAAAGCAGTGTTATAATCACTTTGTCTTTATTTTTACTTGGATTTGGGATCAAAACACACCCTCTCTAAGTATTGCTGCTGATTGAAGTTAACCAAAGTGCTATACTAACCCATGCTGAGTTTGCTTTAAGTTCATGTGCAACCATAAAAATTATGTCAAAAATACATAATTCTTAAACAAGTACAAGTAAGGGAAGATGAGAGCCTAATCGTGCACAGTTTGAATTGAAAATCACTTCCATGATCGAAGGTTGGGATGTGACAGTATGTGTTTGCTGCAGTGAGGATTTTTAAGTTTCATCCTCCAGGTGTAGAGAGAGGACACATGAGAGGCTGGAGCAGTGAGGAAGCAGATAGAGTGAGATAAACCTTCAAGAGTGCACTCTGTAGTGTGTGTGTGTGCATGTGTGTGAGTGTGTGATATGAACACAAATGGTAGTGTTTGTTGGCTTCTTTTCTCTGTTTTGCTGCTGTAGCTCTTGGAGGAGAGCATTATTACCTTGAGCTGTTACCAAAATTAACCAAATGGATGTAACAGGGAACCATTAGGTGTGCAATTTGTTTAGCCATGAGTGTTGGATTAAAAAAAACGCAACAAAACTTTGAAAGGCGTGTTTATTAAAGATTAAAGGCTGCAAATAAAAAAAAGGAAAAATAAAAAAAATGTATGAGATTTGTCTTTTTGAGCAGAATCACCCTTTGCAGAAATAGACGAACAACCAAAGTTTTTCTCAGTCAAATTTAGAGCTGAAATGTTAAAAAAAAAAGGGTGAAAAGTGGCTCCACCTTGTGTTGGAGAGCTACTCATGCATCTTTACGTATGGACAAACAGAAAGACTGTCTGAGTAGAGCACCTCCTTAGATTCTTGGTCATTTAAAGATCTTAATCACTCTTTTTGAATAAGCCTGATAAAAATGAAAATAAAACAAAAGCAGAAACAGCTGAAAAGGCACAGAAGTTTTACCCACCACAAGCTTTTAAGATAAAATCACAAGGGTTGTCACTTAAAATGAACAACTCAGTGGATGGTATTTCGAGTTTTATATGAGGGTTTTCCCCGCTCCTTTTTGCTAGTCAGATCCATCATTTTTCACAAACATGCTTATTCTTGCACAGTATGTTAAGTATGAGATGTATCCTTATGAGTGAAACTATCCACACAGTGAGCTGTAATTACACGTGAGCCAAGGCTGCGTGTTTGTGGGTGTAGAATTCATGTTAGATTGTTTGGCATGCACCATATTAAAATTACTCACCAAATTTTTGCAGTCCAGTTTCCCCGGCTGTGTCATCTGCAGCGCACAGTGAGCCTTTTAATGGGTTATGTCAGTCATGCTGTATCATGTCGGGGCGCTCCACTTCCCTTTTACCCCGATGCCTTTAAATCTGATGTCAGGAAAACTGTTTTTTTTTCTTTTTTTTCAACACTAATAAGAGTTGTACATGCTTCCCTCTGATTCTGACAGCTTGAGCCAGCAAAATAACAGTTTGCTTATTTTCATGCATCCCATTCCAGATTGTGCCAATCACCGTGCTGCTCTTTTTTACACCACATTTATCACATTTTCTGAAGTCTCACCTGACAAAAAACTGAAGTCTCTGTCACATTTCTGTGAAATATGGCTCAGAACCAGGTTTGCCCAGAGCTGCCTGAAGGGGATCTCTGTTTATGTTTCACTGACTCCCATTTTGCAAGACAGTGGAACAAAGACAAATCTCACGGCTTTTAAGTCCTAGAAATTATGACTTAAAGTATCAAACAAGAAATCGTCCAAAAAAAGACAGTCACTCATTTGATTATTGGGATAAATTGTAATAAACTAATCGAAATGCACCTTGAATGCATATTTTATGCACTTCAACCCTTAAGCTGTCTTCAGTGTTCACATTTCATATTAGACATTGTTTTAACAACTCTTACATTTTTGAAAAGGAATAAATCATAGTCATGGTCATTCTTTTAAAAAAAAACAAAAAAACTTCTATGCAGGTTGAAACATCACGCAAAATCTATTAATAACCTGCATCACAATCACCATTTATAAACTGATCATTTACCCCAAGGCTCTCTGACTCAGTTGTCTCCAGTATCTGCAGGTAATGTCATGCACATGCCCTTATCAGTTCTCCGTCCAACGGATACAGAATCTATAGCTGGGCTGGAAAAGTGATAAGGAGATGTGAGCGACCACAGTAACCAAACGACTCCTAACTCTAAGCTAAAATGTGATGAAAGACATGCTGGAAGGTGACAAAAATATTCAGTTGTGGGAAATTTAGAAAGTCCCAGTCAGGGCATGGACCCTCTGAAGTTGCTGTCCCTCTCCTGGACATCCTCTCAGCTCCTGGCAGGGGAGCTCATAGCTCTGGAGCAGATACGATCTGAAGGTTCACTTCCATCCTGCAGCCCCATAAGAGGTAAATCTGTCACGGAGAAAAAAAATAGTCCCTTTCTGTCTTTTGCTACCGTCACTGCCCCCAAAACTCACACAGACCGACCCCCACGCAGCGAGGAACTAGTGAAGCTCCAACCAGCCAGCAGCAGCCATAACCTTCACTGTGTGACTGCTGACAAACTTTTGAGACACACCCCATTGATGAGTTTTATTTGACTGCAGCCCCGCCTGGTTCGGAGGGATCTCTCCACTGCCATTGGTCCACAGTTAGAACTCACCATACCTGCCCCCTGGCTCCTGTGGACTGGAGCCAAATACTTCTTCCACCTGTCAATCACAAAGAGATCAGCCAGTGGGATGAGAGAGGCCAGGCTTGGCGGGTGTGTTCCCCACAGGTGTGGCTGAGAAGCACATTCCAATATGTACATACCTGTCAGCTCCTCTGGTATTCAGCTGCTCCTAGAAAGACCTCTGTTGACCACTGGCTCTCCCCTTTCCCTCCTGCTGGGGCCCATGCAGAGGGAGAAGGAAATAGCTCGTGTTTCGGTCGCACAAATAAGTGTTTTTTAAACTCATGCTATCTGGCTCTTCAATTCATGCCCGAAGAAGATGACATTTCCTTTCAAGTTATGATGTCCAGTTCAGGAGAAAGCATTTGGGTAGCGGAGAAAACACATTCTGTAATCAAATAGGACAGTGAAGTTGAAATGATGTCAAGGGTTTGGAAAAATAAAGGTGATTTAAAGGTCAAGCGGCACCGTGCATTGCGGGATCTCATTATACATTGTGATATGTGGAATCAGTTAGCATACAGGTGCAGGCAGTGGCATGTGCCCTCCCCCTCCCCCCCAGCAGAGAACCTCAGATGCCTCTTTCCTTCAGAATAAAATCAACCCGAATGTTTCCAACGTGCATCATTGCATTGTCTCCTTCTCTGGTATGCAGCCTGTCTCTCTGTCTTTCTCTTTTCCTGTAATTTTTATCCTGTCTTCTCTTCATCCTGCTCTCTCTCTCACTCTCTCTCTCTTTCTCTCCCGCCTCCTCTGTGGCTCTTCATCCTGCTCTCCTCTCAGAGTACAGGAGTGAACAGTGTGTGCCTCAGGCAGGTGCGGGAATGCAGGTTTGCAGCATTCAGAGGCCTAAAGCAAAGCAGAGCGGCCCAGGCCATGATTTGGCTCTGTGCGAGTCTGTGCATGTGTAGAGCTGAATCACAGCAGCCACAGTGACTAAGCTCCTCTGTGTCGTTAGTCACATTTGTAGAGTTTAGCTGTTGGTCTCATCAGACCAAGCTAATTTTGGCTTTTTAAAAAAATCCCCAAAGTTGGGAGGAAGTCGGCATCTTTCATGGACAATTCAAGGTGCAGGTGTAAAACAAGGTTCTGTGTCATGTTTAAGTGGTGGCATCGGTCTATAAAAGGACACTGCTGTTACACAATCACAGCTTACAACAAAATGAACTAGTGTCATTATGTGGGAGGTCAGTAATGAAGAATCCTATAATCCTTTTAAAAAGAAGTTGCAGCTACTGATGAGCATGTAATGAAATCGAATGTGTTACTGCGATTTTTGATTACAATGCCTAAATTTCAATGTTATTAATCTGTTTTTGTAATGAGAGTGAGAGTATGATATCCTGCAGTTTAATGAGAGCTAAAGTGGAAATATAGCTGAAAATTCAGAAAAAAGAATAACATTTCCGAAAAATATTTAAGTTATAATGAATTATATGTTTATTATTGATATAAATAAAGAACTTCAAGAGGTTCAGGAAACTTCAGCTTCAGGAAAGACTTGTGGTCTGATCATAGACTGTATATAGAAGTGTAGTATAGTATATACAGTCTATGGGTATGATACACTCATATACTATATGCTCAAGTGTTGCTCTAAGTGTGAATTGTAAAAGCGTCAAATTAACATTTTTCAGTGAGACTGTACCGGGGACATGCTGGTACAGGTCCACTGTCATTTTGAAGGTCCTCTTGTAGTGTGATGTGGGGTTGGACTGCATTATATTTGACTATCCTCAGGTGTCATGAGTGGGGCCCGACTGACAAACCAGGGAAAAAGACAATTTTAGAATTTTTTTTTTTTTTTTTTAAGATTTTCTCATACATATGATTTTTAAGTGATTTCAAAGTAAACTGCAAAATTATGGAAACAGTATGTGTAGACTCTCATAGATCTTGGCAATAAAAAAACTCAGTTTTATGTTTTGGATTTTCAGATTTTCCCATCAGAATATCTGTTGTTTACATTGATCAAGAAAATATAAAATGCTCACTTAAAGAATGCCACCATAAACTGTGCAATCCTCTTTCTATGAGTAAAAAACATGAAAAAAATTGCAGCGTCTAAGGCAGAAATAAAAAAGCTTATTTCCCAACACAAGGAATAATATGTAAGATAATGTGTTGGGCATAATTGATGGTAAAAAAACATAAAGCACACTGTGGATATGCTAACTTTATCAGCTTTTTCAAGGACAGAGTGTATTTGCTTAGGGTAGATGAACTTATTTGTATGGTATCATGTGTTATAACATGATGTTATACTGTAGTGCAGCAGCCTGACCTCCTCTCTCATGGTTCTGTTTGCGTGATCAGGATGAGGATGTGGGTGAGGATCAGGGCTGTCTGTAAGAATTCCAGGGCCCGTGATGGGAGGAGGATTTTCAGATGGTTGTGAGTTGTGTTCATGCCCAGAGGCTGTATCCTGTCGCCGGGAATAACCACAAAGTCGAGTGAGCACACAGACAACAGGGGAGGTGCTGAGTCAGCTGTCCGCCGGGCTTAGCACACGCTGCGCTGCCCAGGATTCTTCAACGCATGGTTCCCATCGGCTTCTCAAGTCACGAATCCCATGTTTCCATTTAGAGACTATCAGCACTTCTTTATCAAAACACAGACACTATCAAGAATCATTCAAATCTATCCAAAATCTATAGAGAGACGCATTTTCTCCCACCTGAATCCTGCATAACGGCACTAAGGCTGCTAGCTGGTGTCAGGTTTGACTACACTTTCAGATGATAGTTGTCTTTAAAATAGAAATGTTCTCAGTTTGAACAAATTCTGAACTGATAATCTTATACATATTTATAGTTTGAAATCCAGGTTATGTTTGAATGTAGTTGATAACAATGTTACTTTCAAAGCTGTAAATCTGTTGCCTATTTTGGCACCCCTTGTGGACAAGCATCAGAAATCTTTTGTCTGCTGATATTTTCTAGTTGTTCAGTTTATTTTCAACAAAATCAGATCCTGCTTCCTTTCAACCAACTACTTCTATCAATTATAAGAATCATTGTCATGGAAAATTTAAATCAAACATTTTCTACAGTGGGCTGTCAATCACTTTCTCTGTTATTTACCTCATGAAAGCTGTTTCAGGCATTAAAATGAATGTAAGTACAGAACCATCTCAAGCTGAAGGTCTTATTTGCATTCTTATAGCATAAAAGGACATCAGTATTAAATCTGGGCTTTTTTCATAACCAGATAAAAAACTGCAGGGAAGCTTTAAAGACAATTTAAACATAAAATTTTCACTCTGTTTGAGATACTACGAATAAAACTACAGATAAAATGAGTTGTTTGAGATTTGGACACCAGGAAAAATAAGGAGAGTTTGACTCACTCTTTTAAGCTTTGAGATTACAATGCAAAGATGTAAACCGTTGAACTCTTTAGTTGTAGTTTTCCTCATTTTATCAGCACGCAGCTTCAGTCCACAGCCCTCTTCCGCCTGGCTTGACATTCTGCTCTTGATACTTTGTGATGTCTTGGCATACCATCGACAGAGGAAGGGCAGCAGCCATCTCTACTACCATTGTTGCTGATTATTTAGTTGAGTTCCTCCCGTCAGTGTGAAAGTCTGGTCCTAACCAAACAGCCGTCTGCTTTCTTTATCTAGTTCCGGGGTTTGTGGGAACATCAGATGACGGGGCCACTCATGTGGAGCAGAGGAGATCTGCTAAAACATCTTCTGTCCCTCACTGGGATTAGAGCGGACACATTCCTGTCCTGTCTGCTGCCAGGCTCCCATCACTCTGCTGCACAGGGTTTATGGGTGTGGATGAGGTTTTTCTGCAGCGTGCAGAACGGAGCATGTATTCATCAAGTTTATACTTTCAGAATGGTTACAGCAGGTCACCAGAAATATAAATGATGGTATTATTGAAGAGGTAGTTTCATCCTCATTGTTTCTAATACTGGAGCCTTAAAAAAACAAACAACACAAAAAGTTTGACATCCAAATATCAAAGTTTCAACCCATGGGTGGAAGTAAATTGATAACACTGGGCAATAAGTCAAATATGCATGAAGGCAAACTTTAAACAACCCTGTTAATATCCATTCATCGCACTATTTTATCCTCCTAAGCTTTAAGGTTCTGGCCATAAAGTCTCATCCTCACATCACACGCGATGCTCACCCTGGGTAGGCAGCAGGGGAAGTACCCCCCAGCAGGTCCAATCTTCCCTCAGGGAGACTTGGCTGGAATGTCCCCACATGTTCTCTCCAGCCTGTACAGGGTTTTCCCTCAACTGGGATAACCTGAGCACCTCCGGCCAACAGAAAAGAGTTCAGGTTATTGATCCCGAATCAGCTTTATTGGTCAAATGACTGTACATTTATGAGAGGTTTGGGTTTCTCTAACACCCGCTTTGTGAATACTTCATTGTATTCATGGCTGCAGTGGCAGTTGTGGATTCTTATATGTGTTTTACCCTCAATATGAAGGACAGTGTCACTGAGATTGAATTTTGCCTGCAGGATTAGAGTATCATGGGGGTTAGAGTGTAATCTCCTAAGGAACTGAATTCTGTGAAATCTTTATGTTGTAAAATCTGTTAAATTGACCACAGCCCAATGTAAAATTAATCAACTTTTTCCTGTGATGACTTTCTAGAGCTCCTGAAGATTCAAAAAGTTTGAAATTTCATCCAGAGCTCACAACAGGATTATTTTGTGCCCAGAAGTTATTGTTTTTTTTACACACAATTGATTATATTGTACTCACGTTCAATGTAATTGTTATTTGCACACAAGAAAATTAGATTGTGCTCACAAGTAATCTTCACAACTCAACTCAAACTTTATTTATAGAGCACTTTAAAAACAACCGAAGCTTACCAAAGTGCTGACAATACAATACAATACAATTATATCAAATGTATAACTTGTGAGCACATGATAATTACTATTGTGCACAAGATAATTGCTTGTGTGCATGAGAAAAAAAAAATCACTTTTTGGGTTTGTTTTTACGTAGTCGCATTATTTTGCAATATGCTTATTCACACACAACATTTTGACCATTTGTAATATAGAAATAGATGCAACAGAAGCTTTTATACCAGAACATGTCGACAATGATTTATTCTGTTGGCCAAGTGGTTTAAGGGCGCTCCCCACGTACTGAGGCTACAGCCCTTGTCGCAGTGGTTGTTGATTTGATTACAGACCTCGACTCTTTGCTGCACGACTCCCTTCACTCTCTGCTCCCTTTATTTCCTGCCTCTCTTCCTCAGTTTCGTGCAATACAAGCTAAATGCATAAAATTGAATTTAAAAAGAGGATTTGATCCCATTCACCATTTACAATTTCTTCTAAGCATTATTGACATCATATCATTTGATTTACCTTTTTTTCTACTTTTTGATTCAGATGTTTATACAAGGATAATTCTGAACCAGTACCTTCAAAAAATTAGAATTTCACACATTTTAGCATTTTTTTTAAACTGGAAACACTTGACAAAAATTCTCCAACTAAAATAATTGTGCAGCTAAACAATCACAACAAACAGTTCATGCACATCAGCAAAACACAACTTACTTTTCATGACCATAAAAGTGGCCCCCCTTTCTAACAAACTAACAAGTCACTAAGTCTTTCGACCAAAATGACAAAGTTTTATCACCCTTTTCTTAAGGAGTCTTAACCAGACTCTTTTTTTTTTTTTTTTTTTTTTTTGTTAAATTGAAATTATTAGTCATTTTGAGACTGTTTTGTCCTGTTGCTGCGATTCTACTCATGTATCACTGAGAAGAAGCAAATGCATAATCCTACACTAAAAAGTCTGACTGCGTCTAAAGGACCGATTCAGGGCCGAAGTATACAAAACAGAGCATAGTACATGTTTTATGTGTAAAAATATGACACCACTACTACCACAACATTACTCTACAACATTACAGTGTGATTTTATTATATGTAATATGTGTGTTTTGTTGTATTGTAAAGACACAAATCTGAGCTGTTGTACTGATGCTGCTGATGAGAAGTGTGTGAAAAGCTTCTCTGAAATGAACTTTGTAATGTGATGTCTTACTTGGAGAGACTTCCGAGTAAGACATCACATTTGATCTGTCTGTAAGGGTTCAGTGCCTTCTAGTGGCCAAAAGAGCAAAATGAAGACAGCAAACTTGATGGTTTGAATTTTAAAAAAGAGTGAGAAATCTGTTTAGTGAACACAGCCTGTCCACACAGTGAAAATTTGTCACTCTCCCTGCAGCAGTGACTCACAGGACGCCTTTTGGCAGCAGCTTGTGAAGGCTAAGGTGTGGAAAGGATCGTGTTACTTCGAGCTGGCTGAAATGAACAAGTTGTTTTGTTCACAGTCTGTTCTGTTGGAAACACTGACATTTTACTTTATTCCACACAGGCAATATCTCCTCCAGTTTGACCCAATCTGACCCACCTTTAGTAAAAATAAATCTTTTTCTTTTTTAAAGAATAACCTCGAAGACCAAACTACACAAACTGAAGTTGGAAAATTTCGGTTTCCTGACTTACGTTTTAAGGGCTGATATTTCATGAGAGTGTTTTAAAACTTTGTGGCAACAACCTTTTCAAAAACATTACTTTAAAAGGGTTTTATATGGAAATGAGTATCCACTGGAAATTTTGACAGCCCCAATACAAGGAGCTGCATCACGATCCATGTTTTCATAAAACACTTATTTCAAATATTTAAAAAAAATGTTGATGTTACTTTTCAGTGGAGCTGCAGTAGGTACAAATCCGTTTAATCCTTTTTTGATGTTGACAGGCCAAACATCACTCAGTTGCCATGGATACAGATTGAGTGGGGCTTGAGCTAATGAGTTAATGACAAAAAAGTAAAACTTTTTGTTTCGCTGTTTGTTCTCACCCACTGGAAACTTACAGCCGTGCTGCTGCTTGTGTGGACATGTGATTCATATTCCAGGATAAAGAAACATAATAAAATTATGTTGATGTGTGGGAGAGACAAGACGGGCCGACACAGCCTCAGCTTAACACATGGAGGAAGTCCTCTGTACCTGATGGACTCTGAAAGTGTTGACCTCGCTGGGTGCCGAGCAGATGAGAGGAAACCCAGAACACAGAGCCGCTGCTGCTGCTGCTGTTGTGTCTGTGCTGATCCCTGCTGTTCACTGAGGGGTGAAATGTGATCATGGAGGGCTGCCAGCGCACATCAGGACCTGGCAGTTGAAATGGCGAGGCCAGCAGACTGAGATCCAGCGCAGATCTGCTCTCACTGTCAGCCCATAAACACTAGAGGGCAAGCACTGCATTTCCTTTGATGCAGACAGTGTTGCAGTGACAGAAAGGATGCTGTTGGCTCAGTGATACAGCAACGACTCTCACATGATACAGAAAAACAAAAGTTTGACATTAGCCAGTGAACACTATGGCGGCTAGGAGTAAGCATTAAAGGAATATAAAAATTTGAAGTGTGGAAAAGCAGGAATCAGGACTGTAATTCATGACTTTGTCCTGTTGTGTGAGATTTCAAACAGGCTACTGTATGTTAAAAGTGAAGCAAAGTGAACACAAAGGGATGTCAGCCTCTTTGCATCAAACAGCTGGGGGGGGGGGGTCAACATGTAGTCATCACTTAATGTCATTAAAAACTGTATCTTTGGGTGAGTGCAGAAAGAATGGTGTCAAAGTATGCATGTAATGGATATGATGATGTCAATTATCCTGCTACCCTCCCCACACGTTACAGGGATACTCCGGC